CAACATGATGCAGATTTGTTAAACATATGAATTCATGCTTTGTCAGGTCTAGCAGCAAGACTGCAGGACAACAACTTCTAAAATGTTTGTTACTGGAACCGGATGTGCACTGAAGCTAGCTGCTGAGAAGCTCCAGTGAAGATAAATCAACGTTGAAATCCCAAAAACTAAAGTAAAAAGCTCATTTAATAAAAACAGTTAACTCGGAGCTCGTCCCGCGAGTAAACGGCATAGTTGTCAGAGCCGAATCCGACCGACTAGGGGTGTTTATTTCTCCGAAGGTTGCAGCGCTGCTCCCTGCTCCTCTAGCCCAAGTTTAGCAGCCGTCAGCCGGCCTGCAGATTTTCAATCCCCCGCTCTGCCCCGCCCCCTTTCGCATCGCTTCGCCCGCCCGACAGGAAATGGCGTCTCTCCGCGTCTTTACATTGACTTTGTATGTAAACTCACCGCCCCTAACGCTCGCTTCGCTTTTGGTCTGAAAGCACCTTTACTCAAAACAGGATCCGAATCCTTTTTCCACCACTGGCCAAAACAGCCAAAGCTTTTGGTTGCAAAGAGGTTGGAGAGTTTTTGACTGCTTCAATAATGATTTAGCACACATTTGTCTGTACTCCCCAACATCAGCTGCTCTCACTATCTTTGATCACAGGCAGGTGATTTCGTCCAGGAATCGTAAAATCAAAATGCTAAGAAAAACAGATCGGGCACCTACAGTTACCACATTCACTGACTCTTTCAACTTCACCTCCGTGTGTGCGCGAGCATCCATGTTGCTTGGTAACGAACATGCTTTCAGCGGAATTTACCCGGAAACAACAAATTCTAATTTCTGATTGGCTTACCGGCTCTGATACTTGGTACAGAGAAAGCTATGAACTCGACATATAACGCCATATGCCTGCGCCTCGACCATTAATTGTATAGCGGGACAACTTTGTGGCGTTATCTCTTACTTCTCAGCGTGAGAAATAAAAGCTGTGGCGTGTGAGCTGCTTGAAATGCGAGTGTCTCAGTGAATGCGTGAGGCTTGAGAACCTTGTTGGGAAGCTAGAAGCTCTCTGTGAGACACCAATGTGTCCCTGAGCAAGACACTTAACCCCATGTGGCTTCAGAGGCGTGCGGCCTCTGATATAAATAGCAATAGTAAGTAGCTTTGGATAAAAGCGTCAGCTAAATGAATAAATGTAAAGACTCATTAAACTGGATAAGAGGACTAGTTATGCTGCGTTCCATTAACCTCGGAAGTTGAAGGTTGGAGGTGAGAATGACGTCACACCCGAGTTGACGGCGTTCCAGTTACAAATCGGAAAACCTCGCTCCGCCAGCCGTTGGTTACAACTAGCCAGGTTGCCATGGTTACACCGGTTGATACAAAATGCGTTGTGTGGTATTTACTCACACTGAACACTGTAGCAACACGTGTACAAACAGCAGTTGGACGGCACTTTGTGTACAAAAAGTTCTATAAGACACAAGTACACAGAAGTGCTAATAAACAGTATAAACTACAGCTTTCACTAGCTGTTGATACTCAGAGCAGCCATCTTGGATCATGAAGTTGGGGTAGTGCCGTTTACCGACTTTCCAAGTTTGCAATCTGACTTAAGGGGGCGTTATCTGAAATTTCAGACTCTGAAATTCCGACTTCCCATGTTAAATGGAACGCACCATTATGTCCTGGACTGCCCTCCAGACTCCACAGAGGAGGAGGGTGAGAGGAGGACGTTAGCCAAGCTGACATCAGTCATGGACGACACCTCTCAGCCCCTGCAGGAGACGGTGACGTCTCTGAGCAGCTCCTTCAGCATCAGACTGCTGCAACACATTAAAAGAAGGAGCAGCTCCTTCATCCCAGCAGCTGTCACACTCTCCAACACAGCAATGACGTAACAGGAGTGCAAACTCATCACGGGGGAAGAAGTTGACAAAGATATATGTGTGTGTTCCTTCTCCTTGTGTGCTGTTATGATGTGAAACTGAAGACCCTGCTATCAGGACATTCAGCCTTTAAAAATATAGAAACAGATTATTTGAAAATCTGACACGTAAAACTCTGCTCACAGTGCTGAGAGAAAACACTCATCACAGAAAACTACAGTGGCTGACGCATTGTTGCATAGGGACTTGTAGTTTTTACACACGGGACGGATACACAATACACCAGCACCACCCACACAACTCACGCCACACTTTAATTAACAAGCTTTCTGTACATTATTTATAACAATAACTTCAGTAAAACAGATGTAAAACAGAACAAGAGGAGGCGGGTAGAAGGAGCAAATACTGGCACAATGGTTAAATCTACATCTGTCCACTGCAGAGACACAATCCACAACCTGGAGGAGGAACTAGTATAAATGAGTGTATTATTATATTGTAACATTAAATGAACAGAATAGAGTTCATTTAATAGTATACTGTTAGTATAATCCCCCTGGTTGCGTGTCGAAGTGTCCTCGGGGCTATTCTGCCAGTGTATGAGTGAGTGTGAATGTTAGTTTCTGTATGAATGTAGTGTAAAAAGCGCTTTGAGTGGTCGAAAAGACTAGAAAGGCGTTATACAAGTACGGAGCATTTACATGAGTCTCTATCAGAGCCATTATCTCACTGTGCTGATCATTTTCTGAAACCATATGTTCGTTTCCATCATATGTTAATATATATGTTATGTATTTGTATTAGAACTATGTTATATATGTCATACTGTACTGATTTAATCAACAATATATCAACATTAAAAGAGTTACCTAATGATGTAATTCTGGTCACATTAGATTTGGAAAGCCTCTACACTAATATATTCCATGACAGAAGTCTTGAGGCTCTCGAGTATTATCTAAATCTAAATCTCTAAAGCAGAGGTCACTAATAGGCGGACCACGGTCCGGATCCGGACCCAGCCGCCGTCCTCTCCGGACCGCTGACCTACAGCACATTTATTATTGAGACTTACTACCTCGTGACGGAGCGTTTCTATTTTAACCCGCGCAGCTTTTCTAGCATTTACTGTACTGGTTTAGAGGACGAGGAAACTCTCAGACCAATCGCATGTGCTCCACTCGTCTCATGTGACGCTGCTCAGCCAATCAAATCTGTGCATACCGATGCTTGCGAGTCGAGTCCGCGAGATTCACCAGAGACGTTTTGGAAACACACCCGAATTGAGGAGACGAAAGATAAAAGAGATTTTACATGACTTTTAATCAAGAATGTACAGATTTTTACATGTACATTCCTCCCACGGGCAGTTCAAAACCAGAATATCTCATAGATCTCCAATATGCTAGCTGGAGCTCACGTTTCTCACTGAACAACAGAAAGTAGGAAAGTGGTAGCTCTGTAAGAGGAAATGAAAGAGAAGAGGAGGCATTACAGCTGTTCATTTGTGTGTTTATTATAAAATTGGTTAAGACTGCACTTCATCACTTCAAGCTACACTTTTTATTACATTTTTTCTAAAAATTAGGCACTTTAATTTAGTTTACTTAAATTTAGAATTTATTATTTGAATAGTTATTATTTATTATCCTTCCAGTTTGATGTGAAAACTGTCTGAAATATTATTTGATTCGACAGTCCGTTGCTGACTAAAAATATGTGTTGATACAACTATAGGTTATAGTACTGAATGATAACGCAAGTTCGTCGTTTTGATGTTCCGGACCTTTGCTTCAGGAAATTTTCTCTAACTAGACCTCTTTGGAATCTAATTGAATACCCCTGATCTAAAGCTATGCTCACACTGCAGGCCGTAATGCTCTATTCCAATTTAGTGCAGGGATCAGATTTCTTTAAATTGACAGTTCACATTATTATTTAAATGTGGCCCAAACAAAGGAGGCCACTAAGGTTAGCTCCAGTTAGCTCTTACTTGCTAACCCTCACAAGTTACACAGGAGACTACTGTATGTCATTGCCCTCTCACAGTTTCCTCACTGGGTCGCATTTCTCCTGATTTCTGACCAACGTTCACAAATCAAGTATAGGGTTAGTTCAGGCAGGCAACGAAGCCACGCAGATCAGGCAGCTAGCACCTGTCCTCCTTCCCTCTGTGTCTGCGTGATTCAGTGCAGGCGACAATGTGCAGATTGAAGATACAGGGCAATCTAAGCTTAACTACAGACCGCTTTCATTTAGCTCGTTGCGCGTGAGCCCGCATGTGTGTTCGTGTGCGAGGCGACACAGAGCAGCAGAGGCTGCATCCTGATAATAAACAGTACGGTCTTCACCTCCAGGCCTGTTTAACACCATGCTTCAGTGCCCATCTATTATCTGACTAAACCTGTAATTTGCATGCCTGCTCTGTTCTGTACGGGGTTCTTTACTGCGGCGATGCGAATGATAACAAGGACAAGGAGAAAGAGAACCACATGTGATGTAATGGTTTTTCTGGAGCTTTTTCGTTCACCACAGCTAGTGCAGAATTGCTGCTATAGAGCCACTTCAGAGTAGCATGAATTCCAGATTGAGACTGCTTGTCAAAAAGTCAGACCTGTATCGTATTTAGACCACATATGAAAGTGGCCCAAATCCAAACTGGAAGAGATCAGATTCAACGTGGCTTGGGCTGTTCACACTGACGTCAGTAGGACTGAAAGACAGGGGGCTCAGCCCCCAGGGTGTGCGTAACTTGCGCTCCCAAAAAACTCACATCTTTTGTATTAGAACTACACTTATGTCAACAACCAGTGAAGAAGCCAAGATGTTAACAGGTAAAAAGCCAAAGACATACTCTCTTCTTCCATTTCTCCTCTGTTGAACAAAAGTTACTGTAGTGTTGCTTTTCAAAGCTGCATGGAGGAAATTTACTTTGGCCAGTTTCCAGAAATGTGTATGTTAGACTGGAATACCACTCGTGAACCAACAGAGTGGCTGAAAGGGAAACTTTACCCAAACATTTATCACCACCAATGAATAAATGTAAATTTATTAATCAATCAACTCTAAAAAGTTTCCAGAAATGTCCACTGAAGTCATGTGAAGTACAATTCATTTACCTGAGCTGTGAGATATAAGGCAGACACTGTAGGAAACTCCTCACTTCACTCTCTTCATCTGAGCAGCCTGTCAGCTCCACTGGTTTCTTCTCTGGTTGGAGTTTCAGCACTTCCAGGAGGATGGAGGTCTTTCTCTCTGAGAGGTTTATGGACCAGACTGCAAGAGCTGACTGGAAAACTGACTGTAATGATGGAAGGACCCTCAAGCCTGTTTTAGTCTCATAGTCCTTCAGGTGGGAGCACAGATCCAGCAGGAAACCACACTGATCATATTCAACATCCATGTAACTAAGAGGGAATGATTGATATCTGCACACTGATGATAACAGCTCCAGTATCTTCTCTCCTGTCTGCTGTTCTCTCTCTGCTGCTGCACAGAACAGATTCCCAAAGACCTTGACTTCACCTGAGCCTCTAAACTGCCAAGGGACACTGGAACGAGAATAGAACATTTTGTTATGATCTGATGTCAACAGCAGAAAAAGAGCCATGCATTACTGATATGGAGTTTATCTGCTAAAAGCCTACAAATACCTGCTGATGAGCAGAATATAGCAAAATCAATCAACGTAAAACTCAACAATGATTTTAACAGGAAATATGTGGATTTAAGGAGACTGTTACTGAATTAAATTCTTGACAAAATGTTGAATGAAGCTGGAAAGTCAGGCTACAAAGGTGTATCCTCTCCTCTGTATTAAAGATTTTATGTTATACTGGAATACCACTCCTGATCCAACAGGGTGGCTGAAAGGAAAACTTTACCCAAAACATTTATTAATCAATCAGCTCCAAAGCTGAAATACTGGACCACAAGTTTTAACATCCATCATTCTGTAAAACGCTATGAAACTTCATACAGTACTAGTGTCACATAATTAGGATTTCTAGTGGTTTACTGATCACATCCTGATGACGTGATTTCTTTTCAATATTGACAAAAAATTCTCTCATTCGCTCCTCTTAATCATTCATCGTTCAAACATCCTCCTCAGTTACAGCTCTTTTCTTGGCTATATTAGAGTCAGGGGAGCCAATATAGCCAATATATATCCAATCCAGCATCCATGACCAATCACATATTGGGATTAAAAATAAAAATGATTAAGAGCTCAAAATGTGAACCACTTTCAGAAATGTGGTTCATTAATATCAGTGTGTTAGTCATAGCTCCGCTAAAATCAATATGTTAGTCAACACTAACACATTGATGTACTTAGAGGGGAAACATCTTTTAATGCAGGAAACTACTGCTTCATCCCTGAGATTTGCTAAATCACAGCAAAAAGCTGTAAAACAGTTAAAAAAAGAACATCAGTGGCCCTGAAGAAGAAATGAACTCCTCATCATCCACACAATGGTGATGGTCTCTGTTGCTGACATTGCTGGAGCTTGTTGGATCACATCATTATAGCTGAGTCTCTGTTTCCTTTTTAATGAGTCCATAGATGACTGATGAAAACAGCCTCAAAGGAACCAACTTGGTGCTCGATGGAGGAAACACGTATCAGCTCATGGGAGAAGAGCAGGACTCCGTGGGAGCGTTGCTAGGGGGGTTTGATCTGCACAAAACTCTGGTTAATGTAGGAATAAACACATTGGGCTGATTGGAATAAAACAGCATGTCATCTATAAAACTAAACACAGTGATATAACGTTTATGTGGACTGATCACCTGAACACTTTACCTTCGCCTTCAAACTAGTGGAGTTTCCGTAACGTACCGAACCATAATTTATGTCTAAACCTCACCAAGTAGTTTTACTGCCTAATATAATGTTTGTTGTCTCTGTAACATCAGCCAACACTTATAACACTCACTTCTTATCTTATTACCTGGACTGTATATCCATAGCTAAGGCTGTGAGAAATGACTAAAATTTCATATCCTGATATTGACCATTTTTTGTAAATGAAATATCATGATATTGACAAGTTGTGTAATTCTGAGAATTTACTGAGAATTGAGTGTAATCAAAACTGAGTTGAAGCAGCCAATTATGAGCAGTTCCAGGAGGCAGCGAGTCCTTCTGATAGGCCACAGCTTAGCAGTTCTATCATGCTGCCTGCAACAGTTGCTTGGTTAAACCCAAAGGCTGAGCTATTGCAGCTATTGCAGCGGCTGTGGCTCAGGAGATAGAGCGGGTTGGCCGTTAATCCTAAGGTCGGCGGTTCAATCCCTGGTTGCGTGTCGAAGTGTCCTTGGGCAAGATACTGAACCCCGAATTGCCCTAGCGGCTATTCTGCCAGTGTATGAGTGAGTGTGAATGTTAGTTTCCGTTTGAGCACTTAGGCTCAAACGGCTGTATGAATGTGTATGACTGGTGAATGCAGATGTAGTGTAAAAAGCGCTTTGAGTGGTCGAAAAGACTAGAAAGGCGTTATACAAGTACGGAGCATTTACATGAGTCTCTATCAGAGCCATTATCTCACTGTGCTGATCATTTTCTGAAACCATATGTTCGTTTCCATCATATGTTAATATATATGTTATGTATTTGTATTAGAACTATGTTATATATGTCATACTGTACTGATTTAATCAACAATATATCAACAGTAAAAGAGTTACCTAATGATGTAATTCTGGTCACATTAGATTTGGAAAGCCTCTACACTAATATATTCCATGACAGAAGTCTTGAGGCTCTCGAGTATTATCTAAATCTAAATCTCTAAAGCAGAGGTCACTAATAGGCGGACCGCGGTCCGGATCCAGACCCAGCCGCCGTCCTCTCCGGACCGCTGACCTACAGCACATTTATTATTGAGACTTACTACCTCGTGACGGAGCGTTTGTATTTTAACCCGCGCAGCTTTTCTAGCATTTACTGTACTGGTTTAGAGGACGAGGAAACTCTCAGACCAATCGCATGTGCTCCACTCGTCTCATGTGACGCTGCTCAGCCAATCAAATCTGTGCATACCGATGCTTGCGAGTCGAGTCCGCGAGATTCACCAGAGACGTTTTGGAAACACACCCGAATTGAGGAGACGAAAGATAAAAGAGATTTTACATGACTTTTAATCAAGAATGTACAGATTTTTACATGTACATTCCTCCCACGGGCAGTTCAAAACCAGAATATCTCATAGATCTCCAATATGCTAGCTGGAGCTCATGTTTCTCACTGAACAACAGAAAGTAGGAAAGTGGTAGCTCTGTAAGAGGAAATGAAAGAGAAGAGGAGGCATTACAGCTGTTCATTTGTGTGTTTATTATAAAATTGGTTAAGACTGCACTTCATCACTTCAAGCTACACTTTTTATTAAATTTTTTCTAAAAATGAGGCACTTTAATTTAGTTTACTTAAATTTAGAATTTATTATTTGAATAGTTATTATTTATTATCCTTCCAGTTTGATGTGAAAACTGACTGAAATATTATTTGATTCGACAGTCCGTTGCTGACTAAAAATATGTGTTGATACAACTATAGGTTATAGTACTGAATGATAACGCAAGTTCGTCGTTTTGATGTTCCGGACCTTTGCTTCAGGAAATTTTCTCTAACTAGACCTCTTTGGAATCTAATTGAATACCCCTGATCTAAAGCTATGCTCACACTGCAGGCCGTAATGCTCTATTCCAATTTAGTGCAGGGATCAGATTTCTTTAAATTGACAGTTCACATTATTATTTAAATGTGGCCCAAACAAAGGAGGCCACTAAGGTTAGCTCCAGTTAGCTCTTACTTGCTAACCCTCACAAGTTACACAGGAGACTCCTGTATGTCATTGCCCTCTCAGAGTTTCCTCACTGGGTCGCATTTCTCCTGATTTCTGACCAACGTTCACAAATCAAGCACAAGGTTAGTTCAGGCAGGCAACGAAGCCACGCAGACCGCTTTCATTTAGCTCGTTGCGCGTGAGCCCGCATGTGTGTTCGTGTGCGCGAGGCGACACAGAGCAGCAGAGGCTGCATCCTGATAATAAACAGTACGGTCTTCACCTCCAGGCCTGTTTAACACCATGCTTCAGTGCCCATCTATTATCTGACTAAACCTGTAATTTGCATGCCTGCTCTGTTCTGTACGGGGTTCTTTACTGCGGCGATGCAAATGATAACAAGGACAAGGAGAAAGAGAACCACATGTGATGTAATGGTTTTTCTGGAGCTTTTTCGTTCACCACAGCTAGTGCAGAATTGCTGGTATAGAGCCACTTCAGAGTAGCATGAATTCCAGATTGAGACTGCTTGTCAAAAAGTCCTTTCAGACCTGTATCGTATTTAGACCACATATGAAAGTGGCCCAAATCCAAACTGGAAGAGATCAGATTCAACGTGGCTTGGGCTGTTCACACTGACGTCAGTAGGACTGAAAGACAGGGGGCTCAGCCCCCAGGGTGTGCGTAACTTGCGCTCCCAAAAAACTCACATCTTTTGTATTAGAACTACACTTATGTCAACAACCAGTGAAGAAGCCAAGATGTTAACAGGTAAAAAGCCAAAGACATACTCTCTTCTTCCATTTCTCCTCTGTTGAACAAAAGTTACTGTAATGTTGCTTTTCAAAGCTGCATGGGGGGAATTTACTTTGGCCACACTGAGTTCTGACTGAGATGACTGATAAAAACAAAGAGCTTCCAGAAATGTGCATGTTATAGTGGAATACCACTCGTGAACCAACAGAGTGGCTGAAAGGAAAACTTTACCCAAACATTTATCACCACCAATGAATAAATGTAAATTTATTAATCAATCAACTCCAAAAAGTTTCCAGAAATGTCCACTGAAGTCATGTGAAGTACAATTCATTTACCTGAGCTGTGAGATATAAGGCAGACACTGTAGGAAACTCCTCACTTCACTCTCTTCATCTGACCTGCCTGTCAGCTCCACTGGTTTCTTCTCTGGTTGGAGTTTCAGCACTTCCAGGAGGATGGAGGTCTTTCTCTCTGAGAGGTTTATGGGCCGGACTGCAAGAGCTGACTGGAAAACTGACTGTAATGATGGAAGGACTCTCAAGCCTGTTTTAGTCTCATAGTCCTTCAGGTGGGAGCACAGATCCAGCAGGAAACCACACTGATATTCATCATCCATGTAACTAAGAGGGAATGATTGATATCTGCACACTGATGATAACAGCTCCAGTATCTTCTCTCCTGTCTGCTGTTCTCTCTCTGCTGCTGCACAGAACAGATTCCCAAAGAACTCGACTTCTCCTGAGCCTCTAAACAGCTGAGAGAATCTGGAACGAGAATTGAACATTTTGTTATGATCTGATGTCAACAGCAGAAAAAGAGCCATGCATTACTGATATGGAGTTTATCTGCTAAAAGCCTACAAATACCTGCTGATGAGCAGAATACAGCAAAATCAATCAATGTAAAACTCAACAATGATTTTAACAGGAAATATGTGGATTTTAGAAAACTGTAACTAAATCAAATTCTTGACAAAATGTTGAATGAAGCTGGAAAGTCAGGCTACAAAGGTGTATCCTCTCCTCTGTATTACAGATTGTATATTATACTGGAATACCAGTCCTGAACCAACAGGGTGGCTGGAAGGAAAACTTTACCCAAAACATTTATTAATCAATCAGCTCCAAAGCTGAAATACTGGACCACAAGTTTTAACATCCATCATTCTGAAAAACTCAATGAAACTTCATACAGTACTAGTGTAACATAATTAGGATTTCTAGTGGTTTACAGATCACATCCTGATGACGTGATTTCTTTTCAATATTGACAATAAACCACTTGATCAAAATTCTCTCATTCGCTCTTCTTAATCATTCATCGTTCAAACATCCTCCTCAGTTACAGCTCTTTTCTTGGCTATATTAAGAGTCAGGGGAGCCAATATGTGAGCTCAAATCCAGCCTCCATGACCGATTACATATTGGGATTATACATAAAAATGATTAAGTCCACTGAAGTCATGTGAAGTACAATTCATTTACCTTCAAACTAGTGGAGTTTCCGTAACGCAGTTGTTTTAACACCGAACCATAATTTATGTCTAAACCTCACCAAGTAGTTTTGCTGCCTAATCTTTCTATGACTCTGGTGGCATCTGCAGTCTTCTATGCAGTAGTCTGTTGCAGGGCTCTCACGTTTTATCAAAAGTTTGGAGTAAGATTACATCTGTTAGAGGAGGAAGTACTCAAACACGTGCAGCAGCGCCCCCCGGCCCCACCAAATTCCCTCTTTTGGTCCAGAGCCAAACTACAGAAACACATCAAGTCCTGTCCTTAGTTTTAGGTAGCCAAAGCCAAGCCCAGTGAAGGACAGTGATAAAGTACATTTACTGACTGTAGGCCCTACTTAATTACATATTACAGACATTTGTACTTAACTTCAGTGTTTTCTTTTCATGCCATTTTCTACGTCTACTCCACCACCTCTCAAAGGGAAATATTGTACTTTTTACTTCACTACATTTATCTGACAGCTTCAGTTACTAGTTACTTTAAAAAATAAGCTTTTTACACACAAAACATATTTAGAGTTTAAAAAACAGGATGTTTTGTTATAAAGTAATTACTTAACAGTTTATACAAGTACAGCTAGTAGGCCTACATTACTTAGGCTAATTGACAGAAAGGTAATTGCAACTGTTCTGGTATTAGTCATTTTTCATCATCACAAACCTGAAGATCTGCAGGTTTTACTTTTGATTATTTGAATGTATTTTTAATTATTTGAGGTTTTTACAACACAAGCATTGTAAAGGTGTCACTTTGGGCTCTGGGTAATTGTGACAACATTTCTCACAATTGTCACCATCTTTACAATCAATTTAATGGAGTAAACAATCAGCAGATTAATACATAATGAAAATAAACATTAATTGCTGATACAAAATTGTTCAACCTCCACCAACTACATTAATGCATGAGGAAGAATAATCTAATGATACAATATATAATAGCTTGATAGTCATAGGGGACATTTTTCTTTCTCTAATTTTATTTTTAATGGGCTACTTCCACATTTTCCTGCTTTTAGACTACTTCCATATTTTTACTTAGATTTTCAATGCAGTAGTTTTACTTTTAACAGAGTTTGTTTTTTACAGTGAGGCATCAGTACTCTTATGCCAGTTTCAGACCAAACGCAAATTTTCGCCTCGCGACGCTTTCCTCGTATGGCAAGCCGTTAGTGCCAAAAAACGTCACTCTTGTAGCATGTTTTGCTAACTAAACAAACGGCATAAAAAACGGCGTTTTCTAAAATGACAATGAGCTCCGCCCTGTGGATTTTACAGCCACTAAATATGAACGGTTGTCACCCAATCAGTACAGAAGAAGAACAGACCACACTAATTCAGCACTGATCTACTTTACTGTGATCGTAGCCACCCACAGGCAGAAAGTAACCACAGACAAGCATGAAAAACTCAACACAAAAGTCCCAGACTGATCAAGTAAATTGACTACATTTACTAGAATTTGAGCTACTCTAGGTTATAGCTTGTAACATCTATTGATTGATGATTTTAGATTAAATTTGACATAAATAATTAATTTGCATTTTATCATCACTGTCAGATTAAAGTATCTCCTAAAATAGAATATACAAACACAAAGAAAGTAAGAAATCACCATAAGTGGAACAACTATCTTTACGTGGTTATCAGTGAACAGTTTAAGCCTCATTTGTCTTTTTATGACCCCTTCAGTCGGTGTAGTATTGATAGCGAGCCTACCCTTGTTTCTACAAAGCTTTGTTTTACCAAGTCATCCTAAATCCAGGCCAAAGGCAACCTGACACAAACGTGTGTTTCAGTCGATTCAGGGAAAACACAGCTCGTCATTTATTCCCTGGCTGGAAACTTTTTATTCATTTATCCAAAGCTATCCTTCCGGACTCCTGCGATAATATTTATGTTACCCCAAAACACTACACTATACAAGTTGCTACAAAAAGTAAATTGACTACATTTACTAAAATTTGAGCTACTCTGCTCCTGTCCGCCGCCGCTTTACACTGCTCCCCTCCACCACAGACTTCACAATCATTTCTCCAGTCCAGATTCCCCCAGAAATACTTAGAAATCTTGTTCTTATGATGTGTCTTCTGCTTTTCTGCAGTAGAGTTTAGTGAACCTTTGGCAGGTTGCAGACGGGGAAATCCAGAGACCTGGAACGTGAACGTCCAGAAAAGTAGGAGAATGAGGGGCCTGGATTGAAGGAGGCAAGACAAATGGGGACACCATGCCAGTCTGCAACCTGCCAAAGGTTCACTAAACTCTACTGCAGAAAAGCAGAAGACAGCGCAGATGAATCCAGGAGGTCAGCATCCATTATTTGTCACCCTGTATTAGATTGGAGAAGAATCTGAATGTGCCAACGCTTGTTCCTGTCAACATTAGGCATAAAGCAGTGGTGTTTTTTGAAGGGGGCAGGAAGAAGAGGAGAAAGTCATGAGAAGACTGAGGACAAGAACGGAAGGAAAAGGTACTTTATTGTCACATACACGTGAAATTCATTCTCTACAATTAACACTCATTGCCTCAAGAACCTAATCTAAGATGTTTTTGATGGTGTGGAAAACTGGAGTGCCCACACAGGAAGGAGGATACCACCACAGACACTCACAGAGCCCTCTTGAAAACAGCCTCTGTCAATGTAAGTTTTGTCAAACATTTTCAGTGACTTAAATATATCTCCCTTTCACTTAAAGAAAGACCAGTGCGATGCCTACTGTTCATTCAAGCCTGGAAACATCGAAGCAGCTTCACGGGACACAAAGGCTGTGAAGCAGAAGGACAAAGACGATGCAGATTAGAAGACCATGTTGGCGCTCATTCCAATTCCAGGCCATACCGTGTGAGGTACGTATCTTCAAGGACTTCAGCCAGATGGGGAACTGGGAAAAAGCTGGGGATCCAACATTGCATGACCTCCAAACAATCAGGTATTTTATCAGACATATACATTCTTGCACAAATATTGCCTTCTATGTCAATAGAAATCAGTTGTGAAAAGTACCCAAGTACATGCACCCAATTCCTCTTCTTTTTGAGGTATTACTCCACTACATTTATTTTGATGGCTTTAGTGACTAGTTACTCTGCAGATTATAAATTAAAAACATATTCAAAAACTAGAGTATGATGTATTTTCACAGATAAAGCCACACAGCAAAATATAAAGTAGTTAGAATTAGCTTTACTTTTCATCTTAAAATTTGAATGTAGGACTTTTGACATACAGAATATCTCTACAGTGTGGTGTTGGAACATTTATCTAAGTTAAAGGTCTGACTACTTTTTCCACCACTGTGAAAGACATATTTTGTAATCTATTAAAATTCTGTCCCTATTTTCCCTTTTAAGTTCTTCCATCCACTAGATACAACGTGGATGGCACCACTCAGATGACTGGGAAGCCTATCTGTCCCCATCTCTTAAAAGAAGAGTATCACCACAGCAGCCCCACTGTGCGCATCCAGCCAGCCAGTTAAAGAGCTGAAGTTCAAACAGCCCCAAGAACTGAAGGTTTTGCCCAAGAACTTCCACTCATCCTACGATGGACTGGACCACGAGTGATGCCCATCACCAGCTGGAGCCTCACGCAGACGCACACACACTGATGTACTTAGGCTATATTGGTTACAGCTGTTCATTAAAATGAGCTTAATTATATTTTTGCATTATTTTTAAATACCTTTACTGGTTTTAATGGTTTTAATATAATTCCTAATTGTTCAAAGTATTAAGTCAAATATCTAGTAGTAGTAAAGACTCCAATCAATTATCTCTCACAATTAGTCTGACAGATTCTTTATCCTGGTTGTTCATAATAATAATTTTGAATGTTGTGTGGTTTACACAGTAAAATAAATTTCAACCTTTACTGATTAAACCTATTTCATTTTGTCATTATCAGCCAACATTATTCACAATGTAAAGATAGCTTATTGATGATTAACATGATTTCAAAACATGCATCTTATTATTTAGCTTAGGTATCATCAGAAGGTATGCTTTCACAAAGACTTCAGGTAACCTTTCTCAAATATGTCCATTCCAATGAAGCGTTTTTTTTAAAACCAAGTATCTTAATAGCCTGCAGATGCCTTTTCAGAATCAGAATGAGCTTTATTGTCAAGTAGTGTTTTACACATACGAGGAATTTGCTGTGGTGATAAGGTGCTACATGTAGACAAACATACAGTCAACATAAATAAATGTGGAAATATATAAATATGGAACAAGATAAGTTGTGGAGATTTCTTACTTTCTTTGTGTTTGTATGTTCTATTTTAGGAGATACTTTAAATGACAGTGATGATAAATAAAATGCAAATTAATTATTTATGGCAAATTTAATCTAAAATCATCAATCAATAGATGTTACAAGCTATAACCTAGAGTAGCTCAAATTTTAGTAAATGTAGTCAATTTACTTGATCAGTCTGGGACTTTTGTGTTGAGTTTTTCATGCTTGTCTGTGGTTACTTTCTGCCTGTGGGTGGCTACGATCACAGTAAAGTAGATCAGTGCTGAATTAGTGTGGTCTGTTCTTCTTCTGTACTGATTGGGTGACAACAGTTCAAATTTAGTGGCTGTAAAATCCACAGGGCGGAGCTCATTATCATTTTACAAAACGCAGTTTTTTACGCCGTTTGTTTAGTTAACAAAACGCCGTTTAAAACACCGTTTTGTTAACTAAACGCCGCTTTTTACGGCGTGCCAAAATAAAACACCGTTTTGTTAGCAAAACATGCTAGAAGAGTGACGTTTTTTGGCAATAATGGCTTGCCATATCCTCGCGTGAGTACATTCGCTGCAACGCGAGAAGGCGATTTTAACGCGATAAGGTGAATAAACACTGATGCCGAAATAACTACAACATGATGCAGATTTGTTAAACATATGAATTCATGCTTTGTCAGGTCTAGCAGCAAGACAGCAGGACAACAACTTCTAAAATGTTTGTTACTGGAACCGGATGTGCACTGAAGCTAGCTGCTGAGAAGCTCCAGTGAAGATAAATCAACGTTGAAATCCCAAAAACTAAAGTAAAAAGCTCATTTAATAAAAACAGTTAACTCGGAGCTCGTCCCGCGAGTAAACGGCATAGTTGTCAGAGCCGAATCCGACCGACTAGGGGTGTTTATTTCTCCGAAGGTTGCAGCGCTGCTCCCTGCTCCTCTAGCCCAAGTTTAGCAGCCGTCAGCCGGCCTGCAGATTTTCAATCCCCCGCTCTGCCCCGCCCCCTTTCGCATCGCTTCGCCCGCCCGACAGGAAATGGCGTCTCTCCGCGTCTTTACATTGACTTTGTATGTAAACTCACCGCCCCTAACGCTCGCTTCGCTTTTGGTCTGAAAGCACCTTTACTCAAAACAGGATCCGAATCCTTTTTCCACCACTGGCCAAAACAGCCAAAGCTTTTGGTTGCAAAGAGGTTGGAGAGTTTTTGACTGCTTCAATAATGATTTAGCACACATTTGTCTGTACTCCCCAACATCAGCTGCTCTCACTATCTTTGATCACAGGCAGGTGATTTCGTCCAGGAATCGTAAAATCAAAATGCTAAGAAAAACAGATCGGGCACCTACAGTTACCACATTCACTGACTCTTTCAACTTCACCTCCGTGTGCGCGCGAGCATCCATGTTGCTTGGTAACGAACATGCTTTCAGCGGGTCACGGAATTTACCCGGAAACAACAAATTCTAATTTCTGATTGGCTTACCGGCTCTGATACTTGGTACAGAGAAAGCTATGAACTCGACAAATAACGCCATATGCCTGCGCCTCGACCATTAATTGTATAGCGGGACAACTTTGTGGCGTTCCTGTAATGTTGCTTTTCAAAGCTGCATGGGGGAATTTGCTTTGGCCAGAGTTCTGACTGAGATGCCTGATAAAAACAAAGAGCTTCCAGAAATGTCCACTGAAGTCATGTGAAGTACAATTCATTTACCTGAGCTGTGAGATATAAGGCAGACACTGTAGGAAACTCCTCACTTCACTCTCTTCATCTGAGCAGCCTGTCAGCTCCACTGGTTTCTTCTCTGGCTGGAGTTTCAGCACTTCCAGGAGGATGGAGGTCTTTCTCTCTGAGAGGTCTATGGACCAGACTGCAGGAGCTGACTGGAAAACTGACTGTAATGATGGAAGGACCCTCAAGCCTGTTTTAGTCTCATAGTCCTTCAGGTGGGAGCACAGATCCAGCAGGAAACCACACTGATCATATTCAACATCCATGTAACTAAGAGGGAATGTTTGATATCTGCACACTGATGATAACAGCTCCAGTATCTTCTCTCCTGTCTGCTGTTCTCTCTCTGCTGCTGCACAGAACAGATTCCCAAAGACCTTGACTTCTCCTGAGCCTCTAAACCACACAGACAATCTGGAATGAGCATTGAACATTTTGTTATGATCTGATGTCAACAGCAGAAAAAGAGCCATGCATTACTGATATGGAGTTTATCTGCAAAAAGCGTACAAATACCTGCTGATGAGCAGAATACAGCAAAATCAATCAACGTAAAACTCAACAATGATTATAACAGGAAATATGTGGATTTTAGAAAACTGTAACTAAATTAAATTGAAAACTTTACCCAAAACATTTATTAATCAATTACCTCCAAAGCTGAAATACTGGACCACAAGTTTTAACATCCATCATTCTGTAAAACTCTATGAAACTTCATACAGTACTAGTGTCACATAATTAGGATTTCTAGTGGTTTACTGATCACATCCTGATGACGTGATTTCTTTTCAATATTGATAATAAACCACTTGATCAAAACCATCTCATTCACTCCTCTTAATCATTCATCGTTCAAACATCCTGCTCAGTTACAGCTCTTTTCTTGGCTATATTATAGAGTCAGGGGAGCCAATAAATGAGCTCCGATCCAGCATCCATGACCAATCATATGTTGGGATTAAAAATAAAAATGATTAAGAGCTCAAAATGTGAACCACTTTCAGAAATGTGGTTCATTAATATCAGTGTGTTAGTCATAGCTCCGCTAAAATCAATGTTAGTCTATACTGACACATTGATGTACTTAGAGGGGAAACATCTTTTAATGCAGGAAACTACTGCTTCATCCCTGAGATTTGCTAAATTACAGCAAAAAGCTGAAAAATAGTAAAAGAACATCAGTGGTCCTGAAGAAGAAATGAACTCCTCATCATCAACACAATGGTGATGGTCTCTGTTGCTGACATTGCTGGAGCTTGTTGGATCACATCATTATAGCTGAGTCTCTGTTTCCTTTTTACTGAGTCCATAGATGACTGATGAAAACAGCCTCAAAGGAACAAACTTGGTGCTCGATGGAGCACGTATCAGCTCATGGGAGATGAGCAGGACTCCGTGGGAGCGTTGCTAGGGGATTTGATCTGCACAGAACTCTGGGTAATGTAGGAATAAACACATTGGGCTGAGTGGAATAAAACAGCATGTCATCTATCAAACTAAACACAGTGACATAACATTTATGTGGACTGATCACCTGAACACTTTACCTTCACCTTTAAACTAACAGTGAGTTTCCAGAAATGTCCACTGAAGTCATATGAAGTTAACCAACCAAGGTTAAAATCAAGGGCAACTGGACTTGGTTGAAGATACTGGAAGACGTTTCGTCCCTCATCCAAAGGACTTCTTCAGTTCTGACTGACTGGCAGGGAAACTCAGTTATTTAACCTCAGTGGGGTCGTTATCCCGGGTCATCGATACCGCTGGTTCGTTAGTGTTCCTTTTTGCTGTGACGACAGTCGTTACAGTCGTTAAGACTACCTGTGGCCAAGACTGAACGACCATCGTTGGTATCTTCACCTGAGGCCAATAGGTTACGTTTGTTGAGTTTCCTGGGAAGTGATGAAAGGACAGCATTGTAAGTGGGGGATAAGTGGTGGCGTAGACCCCCTCCCCTGTTCAATGACGGCTTCTCAACCCTGGTGTAGATGGCTTCCTTGACACCTCTTTCAAACCATCCATCTTCTCTGTCTAAAATGTGCACCTGGTGGTCCTCAAACGAGTGTCCTCTGTCCTTCAGATGTAAGTAGACTGCAGAGTCTTGACCTGAGGAGTTGGCCCTTCTGTGTTGAGCCATGCGTTTGTGTAGTGGTTGTTTAGTCTCCCCAATATACAGGTCTGTGCATTCCTCACTGCATTGGACCGCATACACTAGATTGCTTTTCTTGTGTTTGGGTGTGCGGTCTTTGGGGTGTACCAGCATCTGCCTTAGTGTGTTCTTGGGTTTAAAAAACACAGGGATGTTATGTTTGTTGAAAATCCTCCTGAGTTTCTCTGATACTCCAGACACGTATGGAATCACAATGTTGTTGCGTTTGACCTTCTTTTCCTCCTCCCCTGTAGTTTTTAGGGCCCGAGCACGACCGTGCGAGGTCCCTATTGAATTGCTCGGATTATTTATATTTTTTTTTTTTTTTTTTTTTTTTCTTTTTTCTGCAAAGTAGGCCCAAATGACATGGCCTAAACATACTCGAAAACTCACCAAAATTTGCAAACATGTCAGAACCGGTGAAAAATTTCGTATTCTACAAGTTTCGCACATGGGCGTGGCAAAATGACTCGCTAGCGCCACCTTGAAAATTGGAAATGATTAGCCCCTCGTTCACGTTCAACCTACATGTACGAAATTTTCTGGGGACATGTATCGTATCAAGACGCACAAAAAAGCCTCAAGAACCCATAGCCTAAAGTCAACAGGAAGTCGGCCATTTTGAATTTTATGGCCATTTTGGATGATTTACACACTTCGTACTTTAACGAACTCCTCCTAGGGATTTAGTCGGATCGACGTCAAATTTCTGCTGTGCCTTCTAAAGGCATTGACGATGAAAAGTTGTGCTATTTGCGAGTTTTCGTCAATGGGCGTGTCCGTGGCGTCGATGATTCGCAATGAAACAGGAAGTTGTTGTAACTTCAGTGTACATGCTCACATCTGGACCAAACTGTACATGTAGGATGAGAGTCCCGCCCTGAACACATGTACATGCCGACATTCACCCACAGTCATAGCGCCACCTGCTGGCAACAGAAAGTGACCTTTAACGAAGCAGCCCCCGCCGCACGTTTCACCTACGTGCACGAATTTTCTGTGGTACGTGTATCTTGTCCAGACGCACAAAAAAGCCTCTTGGAGCCATAGCCTAAAATCAACAGGAAGTCGGCCATTTTGAATTTTACGTCAAATTTTGGATGATTTACACACTTCGTACTTTAACGAACTCCTCCTAGGGATTTAGTCCGACCGACCTCAAATTTGTGCTGTGCCTTCTAAAGGCATTGAAGATGAAAAGTTGTGCTATTTGCAAGTTTTCGTCAATGGGCGTGTCCGTGGCGTGGCGTCAAAGATCAGCTCTTCGCCATGACACGGAAGTTGTCGTAACTTCAGTGTACATGCTCACATCTGGACCAAACTGTACATGTAGGATGAGAGTCCCGCCCTGAACACATGTACATGCTGACATTCACAGACAGTCATAGCGCCACCTGCTGGCAACAGGAAGTGACTTTTAACGAAGCAGCCCCCGCCGCACGTTTCACCTACGTGCACGAATTTTCTGTGGTACGTGTATCTTGTCCAGACGCACAAAAAAGCCTCTTGGAGCGATGCCCTAAAATCAACAGGAAGTAGGCCATTTTGAATTTTACGTCAAATTTTGGATGATTTACACACTTCGTACTTTAACGAACTCCTCCTAGGGATTTAGTCCGACCGACTTCAAATTTGTGCTGTGCCTTCTAAAGGCATTGAAGATGAAAAGTTGTGCTATTTGCGAGTTTTCGTCAATGGGTGTGTCCGTGGCGTGGCGTCAGAGATCAAGTCTTCGCCATAACACAGGAAGTTGTTGTAACTTCAGTGTACATGCTCACATCTGAACCAAACTTTACGTGCTTGATAACTCTCCCACCCCGCTATGGAGGACCGATCCTGACACAGTCAGAAATAAATACAGAAATAAATAAATGCTCAATAAATAAATAAGCATCCAATTAAATACACAAAAAAATTAAGTAAATAAATAAATGTAGGTAGTAATTAAATTATACAAGGAGACATAAATGTATATTTTAATTAGTGCCTTTACTTATTCACCTTTGTTATAATTACCTTATTTGTTTATTCAACTTTATTTATTACTAATTTTTTTAATGTATTTATTTATGTGTGTTTTAATATTTTTGTCTGTTTTATTCTTCCTTTGTATTTATTTACCTTATTTATTTTCACCCATGGTATTTATTTCTGCCTGTCTTTTTTAAATTTTTGTATGCATTTCTGCCTCATTATGCAAATGAGGAGGGGCTGTGTCTCAAGGGGTCATCTTCTCTGCTATTGGTGGACCAGTCAGACAGGAGAGCTCCTACTCTGCCTGCAGACATCAACGATCTTGCCCCTCACACAGTCAGATGGCTTCCTTCAGTGCACTGAGGTGTTTAACAACTCTGAAGACAATACTACCAGCAATGTCTTCCTTCTCTTTTCATGTAGACGCTCCAACAGACAGTGCTATCAGTTTGCTGCATGCATGGACACAGAACTGCGGTATAGAGAGAAGCACACGGTCAGCTGGCTGCAGCTAAATCTGGAGTGCACTCGTATTCAATTCTGTATGGTAAATTCAGTTTTAACGGAGCAGAGCGAGCTGACAGGCAGAGTTAGAGACTTTTTCTGTCCGTTTCTCTCTTTACAAAGACGCATGTTGCAGTCAGAGTCTTCTCTGAGATGCGAGCACGACATACAACACAATTTATCAAATTACACATCGGATATACAGTATGAAAATAAGATTGATTGGATTATACTCACAGGAAGTATAAAACCTGTTACATGTGTCTATTAAAAGTAAAGTAACACAAAAATGTCAGGGAAATTACTTTACTTAGATTTAAGTACTGCAGTTGTACATTTGAAATACCTTCCTACCTTTCTGATAGGAAGCCTTTTGAGGTGGTATAAAACATTTCTTCTTATATTCTGATTTGAGTTGTGGACAACTATGACCACATGAATTAAAAAATTAAACATTTCACTGCCCAAGTCAGCTATAACACAAGTCTTGTTCATCAGACTACATGCTGTACAGTATTTGTGGACAGATTTTGTCCCAGGATTTATTATGCATTTCTTCTTCTTCGTTGCATGATTTAGAATAATAAGGTGAGAAATGGGTCTGTTCTGAGTTCATCCTGCACTGCAGCAGCTAATAAAGTCCATTTAATCCCAAAAACGCTTTTCTTTTAGGCAGGCTGGAGCAGAAAACAACTCACCTTTCTCAAGTTGTACAGTAATGTCACATGTGTATGAAGGTGGATCAAACAAGCTAATCTTAAATGTCAAAGTAGAGAGGAGCCTAGTAGGCCTATTTATTTTCATTCATTACACAATATGAATAAGCTATGCAGACAGTTGTAAAGAAAGAACATCTTTTTCTTCTGTTCTCTACTTGTTATAGTTACACAGTATTAGGGGTGTGGGCTGTATTAAAAGTATCCACTGTTCTCCCATGCTCTAACACACAGTAAAGATGAAATGTGTGCTGTTCTCACATTCTTCCTCTGTATGTACACATAAACAACAAGGCAGGGAAATATAAAAGGAATTTATTTTATTGTTTGGGTACATTATTGTTCAGTGTACATGCTCACATCTGAAACAAACTTTACGTGCTTGTTAACTCTCCCACCCCGCAGACATCCACACGTCAATACCGATTTATATTCATAGCGGCAAGTGCTATGTAGCTCCACATAGGGGACACAGGAAGTGACATATAACACCTTCATGCGGCGTCGGAACCGCGTAGGAAATTCACAGCCGCACCGGCAGAGCTCCAGAATATGCAACTCGGCCGGCTCACGCGCGGACGCGCTACAAGTGCGAGGGCCCGCCCAACGCTGCTTGCAGCTTTAATGTTCTTCTTGGATCTTGTGGCTGTCTTCACAAAGGTCCATTTAGGGTATCCACAGGCTGTAAGTGCCCCCTTCAGGTGGTTCTGTTCCTTCTCTCTGGCTTGGGCGCTTGTTGGTATGTTTTCCGCTCTGTGGTGCAGTGTTCTCATGACCCCTAGCTTGTGCTCCAGTGGGTGGTGGGAATCGAAGAGTAGGTATTGGTCTGTGTGTGTGGGTTTTCTGTAAACACCAATCTGCAGGCTCCTATCCTCTTCAATGTGTACAGCGCAGTCCAGGAAGGCCAAACTGTTGTTGTGAACATCTTCTCGTGTGAACTGATGTTACTGTCCACAGAGTTGATGTGTTCTGTGAAGGCTTGCACTTCCTGGCTTTTAATTTTGACCCAGGTGTCGTCCACATATCTGTACCAGTGGCTCGGTGCTATTCCTCTGAAGGAGTTGAGGGCTTTATTCTCCACTTCTTCCATGTAGATGTTTGCCACAATCGGGGATACCGGTGAGCCCATGGCACAGCCATGCTTCTGTCTGTAGAATCCACCGTTGTACTGGAAGTAGGTGGTGTTTAGGCAGAGGTCGAGTAATTTGCTGATTTGGTCAGGGCTGAGGCTAGTTCTGTTGTCCAGGGTGTTGTCTTGTGTTAGCCGTTTCCTAACGGTTTCTACTGCCTCTATGGTGGGGATGCAGGTGAACAAAGAAGTCACGTCGTAGGATACCATGGTTTCATCTGGATCCAGTTTTAGTCCTCGAACTTTGTTTACAAAGTCAATAGAGTTTTGGATGTGATGAGGCGTGTTCCCCACCAATGGAGCTAAGATGGTGTAAATGTGTTTGGCAATGTTGTAGGTGACCGAGTTAATGCTGCTGATAATCGGCCTGAGTGGGGCTCCTTCTTTGTGTATCTTGGGTAGTCCATAAATGCATGGAATGGCTTCTCCAGGATACAAATGGTAATATAGTTCAATATAGTTTGTGATGGTGTTGTCCTTCTGTAACTGTTGTAGACATTCTATGGCCTTTTTCTTGTATCCGCTGGTTTGGTCTCGTCTCAGTGTCTCATACGTGTTTGTGTCCATTAGTAGTGTGTTGACTTTGTTCTGGTAGTCTGCTGTGTTAAGGACTACCGGTCATCTTCCTTTGTCAGCAGGTAGGATAGTGATGTTTTGATCCTTGCTCAGAGATGTCACAGCCTTCCTTTCTTGGATGGTGAGGTTGGAAGGGGGGGCCTTCGCATTAGAAAGGGCTGCAGATACCTTTAGTCTGAGCTGTTCCGCTTCTGTTTCTGTTAATTTGTTTTTCCTAATGGCCGATTCTGTGGCTGTGATGAGGTCTACTATCGGTAGTTGCTGTGGTGTAATGGCGAAGTTTAATCCTTTGGCCAGAACGTCTTTCTCTGGTTGGGTGAGTTCCCTATCTGACAAGTTTTTCACCCATCTGTTGTCTGTTTCAAGTGTTGTGGGGTTATTGTCCTTTCTCCTCCAAGACAATTCTCCTGTTCTGTTAGTGCAGCTCGCTCTGGACTGTAAGTTTTGGAATTTCCGGGTCTGTCTTTCTTTGCTCTTGTTGTGCTGAGATAGCTGTGCTTTCTTTATGAAGTCCATGACCTTTCCCAGTGCTGTGCTGGGCAGATAGGTTTCTAGTTTGTGGTGTATGTTGTCCATTTCTTTGTTCAGGGCTTCAATTGTGAAGTGTATCTGTCTCGCTCTCTCGTTCAGTAGCTGGTGTTGTGCCTTCTCCAGGATTATTCCGGCTCTGTGTCCTTTTACCGTGGAGCCTAAGTGTAGGCTGTTGGGAATAAGTTTGTGTTGTCGGCATCTCAGGTTCAATCGTAGGTGGTTCCTGTAGTCTGCAATTTTCCTGGCTGTCCTTTCATACTCCCTGCAGTCTACTTACATCTGAAGGACAGAGGACACTCGTTTGAGGACCACCAGGTGCACATTTTAGACAGAGAAGATGGATGGTTTGAAAGAGGTGTCAAGGAAGCCATCTACACCAGGGTTGAGACGCCGTCATTGAACAGAGGAGGGGGTCTACGCCACCACTTATCCCCCACTTACAATGCTGTCCTTTCATCACTTCCCAGGAAACTCAACAAACGTAACCTATTGACCTACGGCGAAGATAAAAATGATGGTCGTTCAGTCTTGGCCACAGGTAGTCTTAACGACTGTCGTCACAGCAACAAGGAACACTAACGAACCAGCGGTATCGATGACCCGGGATAACGACCCCACTGAGGTTAAATAGCTGAGTTTCCCTGCCAGTCAGTCAGAACTGAAGAAGTCCTTTGGATGAGGGACGAAACGTCTTCCAGTATCTTCAACCAAGTCCAGTTGCCCTTGATTTTAACCTTCGTTGGATAACTATGACCTGGATGACTGAGAATCTTCATAGACATATGAAGTTAAATTAATTTACCTGAGCTGTGAGATATAAGGCAGACACTGTAGGAAACTCCTCACTTCACTCTCTTCATCTGAGCAGCCTGTCAGCTCCACTGGTTTCTTCTCTGGTTGGAGTTTCAGCACTTCCAGGAGGATGGAGGTCTTTCTCTCTGAGAGGTCTATGGACCAGACTGCAGGAGCTGACTGGAAAACTGACTGTAATGATGGAAGGACTCTCAAGCCTGTTTCAGGATCATAAGAGTACAGGTCCAGCAGGAAATCACACCAATTCTCTTTCAGAGGGAATGATTGATATCTGCACACTGATGTTAACAGCTCCAGTATCTTCTCTCCTGTCTGCTGTTCCCTCTCTGCTGCCGCACAGAACAGATTCCCAAATAACTCGACTTCACCTATGTCTTCATACCAGGCAGGTAATCTGGAACGAAAATTGAACATTTTGTTATGATTTCTGTATTAAAGATTTTATGTTATACTGGAATACCAGTCCTGAACCAACAGGGTGGCTGAAAGGAAAACTTTACCCAAAACATTTTTTAATCAATTACCTCCAAAGCTGAAATACTGGACCACAAGTTTTAACATCCATCATTCTGTAAAACTCAATGAAACTTCATACAGTACTAGTGTAACATAATTAGAATTTCTAGTGGTTTACTGATCACATCCTGATGACATGTGGTTTCTTTTCAATATTGACAATAAACCACTTGATCAAAACCATCTCATTCACTCCTCTTACTCATTCATCGTTCAAACATCCTGCTCAGTTACAGCTCTTTTCTGATGAAAACAGCCTCAAGGGCACGATCTTGGTGCTCGATGGAGGAAACACGTATCAGCTCATGGGAGATGAGCAGGACTTTGTGGGAGCATTGCTAGGGGTTTTGATCTGCACAGAACTCTGGGTAATGTAGGAATAAACACATCGGGCTGCGTGGAATAAACAGGATGTCATCTATAAAACTAAACACAGTGATATAACGTTTATGTGGACTGATCACCTGAACATTTTACCATCACCTTCATACTAACAGTGAGTTTCCAGAAATGTCCACTGAAGTCATGTGAAGTACAATTCATTTACCTGAGCTGTGAGATATAAGGCAGACACTGTAGGAAACTCCTCACTTCACTCTCTTCATCTGAGCAGCCTGTCAGCTCCACTGGTTTCTTCTCTGGCTGGAGTTTCAGCACTTCCAGGAGGATGGAGGTCTTTCTCTCTGAGAGGTCTATGGACCAGACTGCAGGAGCTGACTGGAAAACTGACTGTAATGATGGAAGGACTCTCAAGCCTGTTTTAGTCTCATAGTCCTTCAGGTGGGAGCACAGATCCAGCAGGAAACCACACTGATAATCCTTGAAATCCTCATCATCATCATCTTCATTCAAGTATTCTTCAGTAAGAGGGAATGATTGATATCTGCACACTGATGATAACAGCTCCAGTATCTTCTCTCCTGTCTGCTGTTCTCTCTCTGCTGCTGCACAGAACAGATTCCCAAAGAACTCGACTTCTCCTGAGCCTCTAAACCGCCGAGAGAAACTGGAACGAGAATTGAACATTTTGTTATGATCTGATGTCAACAGCAGAAAAAAAACATGCATTACTGATATGGAGTTTATCTGCTGAAACCCTAAAAATACCTGCTGATGAGCAGAAGACAGTAAAATCAATCAACCTGAACCTCAAGTAACAATGATTTTAACAGGGATATGTGGATTTTCCTCATGGCCCTGTACACAGGATAAGAGGTCGACTATGAGTGAGAGTATATGGATTTTTAAGTAAATTATTCCCATAATGTTGAGTGATGCAGGAAAATCAGGCTCTACCCGTTCTCACTCCAAAGTCCTCAAATGCGCTACCATGGTCAAGACCCTTTAGTGATTTTTTAAAGCATTGGGGAGCCTACTACATACCATAAAAACATGGAACAATGTAGCTAGCCAAAGTACAAATGTATTTAGTTATCCTAAAGTTACCCTGTGTCTCACTTGGCCCTGACTCTCCCTGCAACAAATGTTTGTGAACACAGAACTGTCAATGCAAACTCTGATGACATGCTATTGGCCTAACAAAGTCTTTTTATTACACAAGTTATATAATTTACTATGTCTAGTAGCCATCCATACAACTACAAGGCTTTTCCTCCTCAGTTTTTTATATTCCTCCTCGTGTGACCTCTGTACTCTTCCTCTTAAAAGACTGTTGGATGTCTCTCGTCTCTGTGTGACCATTTTGACTATTTTTTAATTGTTTATGGACACGTAGCAAGTTTTTAAGGTCAAGCATGGTCATGGACAGGGGCAAACAAATGGGCCACGAGTTTGACCATGGTCAGTCCACTCTCTGGACAAAGAATTTGTCAGGGCCCTGTGTCTTTCAAGACCTTTGTTTCTGTATTTTTGAGAATTTTATGCAAGTAGAGTACATAACTAAGAGGGGGAAAAAACTAATCAAATAAAAGTATATTTAATCTGCTCTGCATCAGGTTATTTCTAGGGAATGCAATATGCTTTTCTGGTTGCTTATCTGTAATTTAGCAATTTCTGTTTAATACAATTATTTTCCTTTTTAAATCTCTATGAAGGTATTGATAAGATCACTATAACACTCTCGCTGCCCTAACAGTTGTATTAGTAGAGCAATAAAGCCTTAAACCGAAAAGGTGTTTGCCTAATTTTCTAAATGTTTGCATCTGCCCAGCTCTGTGACTGAGACAAGCAACAGACACCAGGGCTGATCTGCATAACTGCGCACAGCCTGGATGACCGCTCATTTTGGTTAATGAAGCAAAATGCACATTATAGACTGGGGAAGTTATGAATGGAAAATGTAGCAAAATTAAAAGTAGATTACTGGCCCTTAGAAAATACTGAAGAGTAAAAGTAGGCTACAGTTTTAAACAAGGAATGTGAAACTTATTTTATTTATTTATTTAGCAAATTTGCGTTACTTGTAACAAGTTACTACCCACCCTGCTGCAGGCGTCCTCACTGCTGTGAGAAAGAAAAGTCTGTAATATTGAGGCACTTTGCAGCAGCTGCCTAGAGTGAACTCTGTCTTTTCAGCACCACCTTTGCGTTGTGTCGCATGTTTGCTATAGGCCTACATATTTTTTTCCGCGTTTCAACCATTTATTTATGTCTGATGTGGAGTGTGTGATTGATTGTCACTCATAGTAAACATAATTTTTAACATCCATCATTCTGTAAGACCCACTACAACTATGAAACATACAGTTGTAGTGGTTCAACCAGCCTCTCACCTCAAGGATGAGGGGAGATCAGATTCTGCCAATGGGGGATTTTTCCTCCCCTGGAGTTGGCTTTGATATACAGACTAGAGACATTCCTTTGTACTTTGGTAAGGACCTACATAGACTCAATCAGACACGAATCGCTTAAGGATTGTGTATTCAGGAACTATCCAAACCACTCTCGCCGTAAAGGTGTCACTGAAGAAACTCTGCAGGACAGCAAAAGGGCAGTTGCAACCCTTTCCAACCACAAATTACCATCAACATCAAAAGTACCATGAAGCCCTGTCTCATCCTGATTCCTTTCCCACAGAGTCACTTCTTTCTCTAGCTGATGTGAGATGTGAACATGATAAGCCACAGAAATGTGAAAAAGAGGGACACTAACAAGCATGCTTTTGTGAGCTAAAGGAATGTTTCATTAGAAACTGTGTTTTGTTCTGCTTAAATAATACTCCTTGTTAAGTTAGTAGTGGCGTTTGCCTCTTAGTTTAATAGTAATTACCCTGTTGTTATCCTTTAGTGATGTTGGAAAGCTAGAGAATCATAAGAAAGCAATCTTGAAGAGTTTCCTCTTTCCTCCTTCTGTTTTTTTGTCTAATAATCACTGTCTGTTTAGTTTAACTAATGCTTTAGCTAAATGTTTCCGTATCTAATTTCTTATTAAAACGTGCATCTGCACATTCCTCTTGTATAATAATGTATAATCCACTTCCCAGTTCCCTTCCTGCTTTCTTACAGTGCAAACGCTTTACTGCTTGCTCTTGCCTCTCCTTGCATTCTTTTGCTTAAATTCTTTTTTTTCCTGCTAGAAATCAGCAGCTCTTGGATACTTTTAAATCACTGGGACTGTCAGATAAAGTAGGCTCTTGCAATACTTTAAAACCTTTTATGATCTCAGTGCTACGCGAGTGCGGCCTATCAATAGCACTAGCCTGTACTGCAGTGACTGTAGCTATAGCTAATGCTAATTAGCAACATGATGCCCCCCTTCTCCATGGACGACTTCTACAAACTTCTACAGAAAATTACTGTGCTGGAAACCAAGATCCACAGGTTGGAAGTGAATGTGGAAGTGAATGGATTATGTGGGAATGACACCACTTTACCGTGGACCCAAAACAGTGGACAAGAGCATGCTAACACACGGCTAATTAGCACCAACAAGACTACCAAGAAGCAGGAGGCCTGTGTACTGGGTAATAAATCTAAAAGTGCGATTCCTCCCTGGAACGCTCTTGGTGCAAAACCTAAGAGTAAATCATTTCCTTTGGAAATGGGAGGACGACAGGCAGAACCAGCGCCCTGAGATTTGTGATGCGACTGGCTGGCCTGCATTATCATCCAGGCAGAATGCCTCTTCCACCCCTGTTCTTGGTAGGACACAGCCGTGGACAGCTGCAAAAGGGAGAGTTAGCAACAAACCTCCCCGAGTGTGCAACAGCAGAATAGATTTTCACCACTATTGCAGGACCCTGGATCTCCGTCTGATGACCTGGCAGCATGTGCAGTCTCTGCTTTCCAAAGGATACGGTGTCTGACTTGGCAGAAAGAATCCTGCATATCGTGGCTGAACATCCTACTGTGAAAAACATCATACTGCACATCGGGGCCAATAATGTTGTGAAGCAACAGTCTGAAGTGTTGAAAGAGGAATTTAATAATCTGTTGAACACGGTCAGCTCTTTGAATGCTGTCAGTGGCCCTATACCGCCAATCCGAAGAGGAGCTGAGAGATTCAGCAGACCGATGGCATTGAACACGTGGCTCTCAACGGCATGTACTGTCCATTCAGTGCATTTCATCGAAAACTTTTACTTTCTGTGGGACCGCAGACATCTTTTTAAGGCAGATGGACTTCGCCTTAACAAGTCAGGAGTAAAATTGTTCAGCTCCAACCTGTTTTACTTTCTGCATCACTCATCTGTTCCCTCTGCCAAGGACTAGAGACAAGAGGAATCAAAACAAGAAGAAGACATAACACAACACACCAGAAACATTGAAGGAGAGCCACCCCAGCCCCCGCCAGAAGAGAGCTCTGATCACGGGAGACATCTGAGCCAAGAGGAAGAGTCTCCACCTCTATAACTGAAAACCAATAGTGAGGATTCACCATCTTTACCCCACCAATGCCCATCCAGGTCACCCTTTCTCCCCTCTCCCCCCTCTTGGACTTCACTGATCACATGGAAGACCTGGTTAGAGCTGGGACCAAAGTTACTCCCCGCTCCTTCACTCGCTCCACTCTACCATAAACCCCCCTCATCGTCCACCTCCACCACTGGCTCTAAGTCCTCCGGGTTTGACACATCTGTCAAAAGTACAGCGCCCAACCCGTCCTCCCGCTCCATAATGGCAAAAAAGCCCAGTAAGCTCTGTCTGATAAGTACTGGGTCCCGGCTACAAGGAAAATAGCACTCATGACTCTTCCCAGGACAAGCCGGGGCCCAGTGTGCTGTTAGTCTTCTCCATCCCTGTCTTGATAGGTAACAGAAAAAGCATGGTGAATGTGTTAAGAAAGAGGAAGCACTCAACATATCCTGCAAATTTAGTATTAATTCCTCGTCAGCCGCAGCCTGTTGAAAAAAGTGGGCCAGATATTGTTTTTAACACACTAAAATTAGCTTTGTTAAACATTAGGTCTTTGGCAGGAAAAACATTTTTAATCTGACAAAAATGGCATGTGGATTTCCCCAAGGCTCCATTCTGGGACCTCTTTTGTTTAACATTTACATGCTTCCACTGGCTCAGATTATGAAAAACAACTAAATATGTTACCTTAATTATGCAGATGACACACAGATTTACATAACCATTTCACCAGGGGGACTATGATCCCATACAGGCGCTGAGTAACTGTATTAAGCAGGTCAACGATTGGATGTGCCAGAACTTCAATTAAACAAGGATAAAATGAGGAACGATTGAAAGTCAGTGCTCGACTTCAATCTGTAATGTTAAGAACCACAAATCAAGCCAGAAATCTTGGTGTGGTCATGGACCCAGACCTGAATTTGAGAAGCCATATTAAGACAATTACAAAGTCTGCCTACTATCACCTGAAGAATATATCAAATATTAAAGGATTTATAAAGCGCTAAGTGGTTTAGGGCCAAAATACATTTCCGATTTTCTGGTTCGTTACGGACCATCCAGACCTCTCAGGTCATCTGGGGCAGATCTGCTTTCTGTCCCCAGAGTCAAAACTAAACAAGGAGAAGCAGCGTTCAGTTATTATGCTCTGTATATTTGGAACAAACTCCCAGATAACTGCAAGTCTGCTGAAACTCTCAGTTCTTTTAAATTAAGACTGAAGACTTTTCTTTTTACCATTGCTTTTAATTAAATATTTAAGATTTTTCTTTTTATTGATAACTTACACTGCACTGTAACTTTTACTGTCCGTTTTTTTTTTCTTTGTTCCCTGTTGCTTTTATGTTTTATGTAAAGCACTTTGAATTACCTTGTTGTTAAAATGTGCTATACAAATAAACCTGCCTTGCCTTAAACTTCGTCTGTGAAGATTCTCAGTCATCCAGGTCATAGTTATCCAACGAAGGTTAAAGAAAAGACTTTAAACTTTGTTCGATCTCTTAAACTTCCTGTAACTCCGATCTCTTTTCCCTGTACTTTCAGCTTTTGACTATTTGTTTGGAGCTGCTTGGGAAGAAACTTTCCCCAGACTTTGTTAAACTCGGCAACGTCAACTAGCCTATATTCCCTGGGCCTCGCGAACCTACGGTGAATGTATGTTTCTTATTGGATTTTGTTGTCTTGAGTTACCCGACCGTTTTACACAACTTTTGGACTCAGAAACACAGAAAGTTCTTTCAATCCTCATCTCGGGTTGAACTAAGCCCCTGCTCCAACGACAGAGTTGGAGGATCTTCCACTGAGCTGTAGCGACACCACCAGAACTCAGAGCGCCAAGCCACGGCAGACGGCCCATTACTGCGAGCGTCTTTTCCACCACCCCAGTCAGTCAAGGACTCCGGACAAATCCATCGGTTAAAAACTTGCTCGAGGAGTGGGGTCGCGTGCCAAGCGCCCAAAGGCTTGATCACCGCACGAGCTCAGCCGACTGTGAGCCTTGACCACAGAGGAGGAAAACCACAAAAGTAAGGCTTGAACAAACTACATTCTGTGACTGGTTGGTGTCCTATATTTGGTCCTAATCTTTAGTTCAGAAATCCCTGGTTTATTTAAACTCCATTTGCAACCTAACTCAATATCATTCGTTCCCTCACTCCCTTAGAATTACTCTCCATCCACTACACCAAGCTGAAATTTTATTGAGCCTATTATCCTGATTTTGGTCTTACTGCATATTCTGTTCATTACATCCTGGTTTGTTCCATGTTCGACTGTTATTCTTGTAATATTCCCATATTTACTCACACTGATTATTGTAAATATTTCAGAATATTAATATTAATTTTTTTTATTAAAAAAGGTAAAGTAGGTATTCTACTAGTGTAACATAATTAGGATTTCGAGTGGTTTACTGATCACATCCTGATGACATGTGGTTTCTTTTCAATATTGATAATAAACCACTTGATCAAAATCATCTCATTCACTCCTCTTAATCATTCATCTTTCAAACTTCCTGCACATCCTACAGCTCTTTTCTTGGCTATATTAGAGTCAGGGGAGCCAATAAATGAGCATCCAGCATCCATGACCAATCACATGTTGGGATTAAAAATAAAAATGATTAAGAGCTTAAAATGTGAACCACTTTAAGAAATGTGGTTCATTAATATCAGTGTGTTCGTCGTAGCTCCACTAAAATCAATATGTTAGTCAACACTAACACATTGATGTACTTAGAGGGGAAACATCTTTTAATGCAGGAAACTACTGCTTCATCCCTGAGATTTGCTAAATCATAGCAAAAAGATTCCAGGAGGATGGAGGTCTTTCTCTCTAAGAGGTTTATGGACCAGACTGCAGGAGCTGACTGGAAAACTGACTGTAATGATGGAAGGACCCTCAAGCCTGTTTTAGTCTCATAGTCCTTCAGGTGGGAGCACAGATCCAGCAGGAAACCACCACATTTCTCTTTCAGAAGGAATGATTGATATGTGCACACTGATGATAACAGCTCCAGTATCTTCTCTCCTGTCTGCTGTTCTCTCTCTGTTGCTGCACCGAACAGAATCACAAAGAACATGGTTTCTTCTGAAGGTTTTGATAATTGAGGCACAAAACTGAAATTATGAGGATTAAAAGTATGGGATCTTTGTCTCTTATCAAATAGAACCAGAACATTTCTGTGTGAACTTTGGTATGAAATACGCTATGATAATTATATGCATGAAGACAAAATCTAGTGAAAACAGAAGTAATGAAGATGATAAGCTTTTACCTGAGCTGTGAGATATAAGGCAGACACTGTAGGAAACTCCTCACTTCACTCTCTTCATCTGAGCAGCCTGTCAGCTCCACTGGTTTCTTCTCTGGTTGGAGTTTCAGCACTTCCAGGAGGATGGAGGTCTTTCTCTCTGAGAGGTTTATGGACCAGACTGCAGGAGCTGACTGGAAAACTGACTGTAATGATGGAAGGACCCTCAAGCCTGTTTCAGGATCATGAGAGTACAGGTCCAGCAGGAAATCACACCATTTCTCATTAAAAGAGAATGATTGATATCTAGACACTGATGATAACAGCTCCAGTATCTTCTCTCCTGTCTGCTGTTCTCTCTCTGCTGCTGCACAGAACAGATTCCCAAAGAACTCGACTTCACCTGAGCCTTTAAACCAGAAAGAGAAACTGAAACAAGAATTGAACATTTTGTTATGATCTGATATCAACAGCAGAAAAAGAGCCATGCATTACTGATATAGGTGGATTTAAATAATATTTAAATTTTTCACAAAAAAAAAAACATTAACCGACTGACTGAATGTCAGAGTCACAGCAGAGGAGGGTGGTGTGGACATGATATAAAAAACATCTCTGATCATGAAGAGTAATGCTACTCTGCAGTTCATCAATGAAGTGTCTGAACTCCAGTCTGTTAACAGACAGACACTCTCTTCTATGAAACGTCTGGATCCTCACAGCCGCTGCGTTATTAGATGCTATGAAGAACCGGTTGTGGGTCAAATCACGCCCCTAGACTGGTTTCTTTACTTTCGTGTTTTATTGCTGTATGAGTGTTTTCTTTGAGAATTTACTTTCATGATTAGAGAGGCTGCTGTCAGTCATTTTAAATGTTTTCATGTGCAGTAAAGTCACAGCAAATATAGTGTGGCATTTAAACGGCAAAACAAAAAAAAACTGACGGGACAGACAGAGGAAACAGAATTCAACTTTTAGCTTCTAAAATAATTTAGACGGTCCAATGGAGCTCAGGATTGATCAGGAGGACAGCTGCTTTATTCCAAACTGTTTCATTGTAAGAACCTAGACTGTGTGTGAGACCTTTTGGATATGTAGAAGAACACCGAACATGAGTTAACATTAGATCCTGACTAATCCTGTCAGCGTGTTGGGAGTTTTTAAATAATGAATGAAGTTATGCTGCTGTGCCTCCTGCATAAATGTGCACAGCATCTCTTACCATCGGAGTAATGCGGCCCTAAAATAAAAACAGTGAAATACTGCACCGATGAATTTAGACCTGTTTGTTTTTGGTCACCTTAAGATAGCAATGCGCCAACAATTTGCCTGACCACACCTCTTTTTACACCAACAGTGGTTACACCTAGGCGCAAAGATGGGCACGTGTGCATTTGTTATATAAACAACATTAAAACCGACAATTGCGACGGTTTGAAACTAGCAATGACACTTGAGCTGCGCTTTGCGCCAGGTGCAAGATAGGGCGCTAAGGAACAAAGAAGCTGGGAAAAAACACAAGAGGAAAACCTAAAAATTAATGAAGAGGAACCCAGGAAGCAAAACACAATGACACTGAGACTAATAATTTTCAAAAACAAAACATGAAACATGAAACACTGAACACCAACCCTGAACCATGACAATAACTAATGCTTTGGCCACATGCATTAAATAGCCAAGAAATTGACACCCTTTCATCCTCATCAGTTACTGTCATATTTAAGATATTCAACTATAAAACCCACACTCCTAGCTTACTATGGAGTATGAGAATGTTCATATTGAACGGAACAGTTTAGGATTTCATTGTTTTTGTTGACTTGGCCTATAACATGTAATAAAATGTACCTCTGACACAGGGCCACAACCAGGGTTTAGACATTAGTGAGATCCAGATTTGTTTTTGATAATAGAGCATATTTACAGTAATTCATTCCAAAATGACACCAAAACACAACAAAAGTTATACAATACAGTCAGAAACAAATGTGTGTGTGTGGTACAGTGAAGGCTTAAACCGTGCAGTGGAAACACTAAAAGGCTGTTCGTGGTCTTTCTCCCCTCTGCTTGGCTCACTAATATTGCATAAAATAAGAGATACAGAAAAACAAGCTATGATCAGATAGTGCAAACATGGAAATCTTTGTTTATTAAATTTCACAACATGCGTTGGGCTAAATCTATCTCAAATGTAGCCTACAAAGTCATCACAGGAATTACATGTGCAGACATAATGTGCACTATGACAAAATTAAAATACAGCAGGTTAGCACTGAAAGCTCTGGTTGTTATTACAGCCTAATAACTAGATGTCAGAAGCTGTTTGCACTGTTTTGTCAAGGTAAAAGGAGCTACACTGGTGTGATGGATTGGCTCTTACAATATCTGAATAATCATGTATGCACAAATCATCCACCGCCCCCCCAACTAATTATTTTCTCAGATTTAGCCTGTTAACTTTTCAGTTGGTTTCGTTTAGAAAGATTTTAATAACTCTTGACTCTTCTTGATTATTCACTGTTCAAACATCCATCTAAGTCAACGCTCATCGATTGGCTCTCCTAGAATCAGCGTAGCCAGTGAATGACCGTACTGTCCAGCAATCATGAACAATCACATTTTGTAACCAAATATGTTCATGATTCAGTACTGAAAATGTGAACCACTTAAAAATGTCAGATGACTCAGACAGTAAATCCAACACCAACACAGATATACTTAAAGGGGAACCATTTACCTGAGCTGTGAGATATAAGGCAGACACTGTAGGAAACTCCTCACTTCACTCTCTTCATCTGACCAGCCTGTCAGCTCCACTGGTTTCTTCTCTGGTTGGAGTTTCAGCACTTCCAGGAGGATGGAGGTCTTTCTCTCTGAGAGGTCTATGGACCAGACTGCAGGAGCTGACTGGAAAACTGACTGTAATGATGGAAGGACCCTCAAGCCTGTTTCAGGATCATAAGAGTACAGGTCCAGCAGGAAATCACACCATTTCTCTTCAAGAGGCAGCGATTGATATCTGCACACTGATGATAACAGCTCCAGTATCTTCTCTCCTGTCTGCTGTTCTCTCTCTGCTGCTGCACAGAACAGATTCCCAAAGAACTTGACTTCACCTGAGCCTCTAAAGCGCTGAGAGAAACTGGAACGAGAATTAAAATTTTTGTTATGATCTGATGTCAACAGCAGAAAAAGAGCCATGCATTACTGATATGGAGTTTATCTGCTAAAAGCCTACAAATACCTGCTGATGAGCAGAATACAGTAAAATCAATCAACCTATAACTCTATAATATAATACAATATGATTTTAACAGGTATATATGTGGATTTTAGAAAACTTTTACTAAAATTATTTACAAAATGTTTAAGCAACCAGGAAAGTCATTTCAATATAGATAAATGAACCACTTGATCAAAATCCTCTCCTCAGTCCTCAAGCTCAAAGCCCATTTCCAGGAAAGTGGGGATATTTTCCAAAATGCAATAAAAACAAATATCGGGATTTGTTCATTCACACAAACCTTTATTTAACGGACTAAAGTACAAAGACTTTATTCTGTAAATATAAACAAAATTAGAATTTTATACCAGCAAAAAAGTTTACTATTGTGTTACATCACCTTTACTTTTAATAACGCTTTCTAATTGTTTAGTAACTAATGATACTAATTGTTCCAGTTTTGCAATTGGAATTCTTGCTTGAAAACCTTAAGCTGCTCATAGTCTGTGGTTGCCGTTGTTTTATGCTCAAAGAAGAGTCTGCAAGATGGTGGAGCAGAACAACTTCTGGTTCAAACGAGGAGCGAGGAAACAGCAAATAAGGGATTTGAGATGCACCTAATGTGTCTTGACACTTGTCCTCCTCTCACAGCCTCTCCACCGGGATGCCCCAAGGCTTGGTGATAGGGACCCTTCTCTTCTTGATTTACACCACCCTAACTGGGGCTGATCATTCGCTTGCATGGTTTCTCTTACTACTGATCCGCAGACTATACAAAAGTCTACCTGTCCTTGGTCATTCCGCTTTGCTTTCCACAACATAAGAAGAATCAGGCCAAACCTTACTCAGTATGCCACCCAACTTCTGCTGCAGCCCATGGTTACATTTACATTTATTAATTTAGCTGACGCATTTATCCAAAGCGACTTCCAATTGCTATGTTGCACGCCTCTGGGCTCGCTCACGGACACATTGATGTCTCATTGTGGGGGATTGAATCCGGGTCTCTCACGCCAAAGGCGTGTGTTTTATCCACTGCCCCATTGCCACCCATTTGTTATCTCTCGCCTCGACTATTGTAACACCCTGCTAGTGGGTCTTCCAGCTTGTGCGGAAACCCCTACAAATGGTTCAGAACGAGCTAGCGCATCTGGTTTTCAAATCAACCCAAAAGGACTCCTCACTCCACCACTCACTGACTACCCATGCCCTCCCGAATCAGATTCAAGTCAGAGGAGAGGAAAGAGGGCCAGGAGAGGAGCCATGCTGGCCCAGCTTGGAAATAGCCTAATTCTGCTCCTTAAGATCCGGTCTTGACAAAATGGGATTCATGTTGACCAAGCAACGGAATTCAGAGACTGTTGTGTCCACATCGTTACAGAGACCTGCCCCATCAACATCCCGAATCAAGCACTCGGCAGACGGCCCGTGTTCCGAGCTGTCATTGCAAGACTCCGGCAAGATGAGAGGAGGTTTTACATCAATGACGCTTGGTACACAAACACAGTCAGGATGGACTCTGTTTATCAAATGTCAGACTGTTTATTGTGAAGATGATACTTTCATATTATCATCTGGTTGTTGCTGTTTACATTCACCCCAGATGCAAATTCAAAAATGTACTGTTGATTTTCTGGGTGAATACATGTATGTATATATGTATATAAATAACTGTATTGTTTTTATTTTATATATGTTACCATTTAACATAGGCCTACACTTATATGTTGTGTGTGTAGCATGAAGGAACTAAAAATTTTATTTTGTTATGCAGCCTTGTGCTGTATAATGTCTAATATACATCCTTGTAAAACAATCAGAGTGTCACCTCCCATTCCCTTTAAAAGCCATGTGTGCTTGTGCCTTGGTGCATTGCTATTATAATGGCGGATAAATCGATGAAAACATCGGACGAAACCATCAAATGATTGATTGAATTTCAGACTCACAGCAGAGACGTTATTTCCTCTGCAGCTCTGTGGTTCATCAGTGAAGTGTCTGAACTCCACAGCAGACTGTTAACAGACAGATATGTCTGGATCCTCACCGCCGCTGCATTATTATAAACTATGATGAACCGGTCGTGGGTCACATCTCTCTCTCTTACACTGGTTTCTTTCTTTTGTGTTTCATTACTGTACGAGTATTTTCTTTAATGGTACAATAATGATTAGAGAGGCTGCTGTCAGTCATTTTAAACGTTTCCATGTGCAGTTAAGCCAGCAAATATCATGGGGTGTTTAAGAAACAACAACAAAAAAAATGTACTTATAAACTTGACAGGATAGAGGATACTCTCCAGAGGAGAGGATTGACCAGGGCGGCTGTTTACTATGAACAGTTTCACTGGATGAACCTGAACTGTGTGTGAAACATTTTGGATGTGTAGAAGAACATAGAACATTAATTAACATTAGATCCTGACTGATCCTGTCGGCGTGTCGAGAGATTTTAATAATCAATGAAGTTACGCTGCTGTGCCTCCTGCGTAAATGTGCACAGCATCTCTCATAAGAACACCATACCACTTTAGATTTGTTTGGGGTTTTTTTGTGGTTAATGGCGCCATCGCTTTCTGCTGCCTCAAGATAGCAATGCGCCAACAATTTGCCGGACCACACCTCGTTTTAAGACCAAAACTCCCATGGCTTTGGTGTTAGGGCTACATCGCCACCTGTTGGTTTGGCATGAGACAGTGCATCCATTGTGTTTTTGCATTCTCATGTGGCTGGAGAAATTGCTTTAAACTGAAGGGGGAAAAAATGTTTAAAAAATAACCATGTATGTGTAGACTAGCCCTAAACCAGGCCCACGTTTGTTGACTCAGCAGGGATATTACATGAGAAAAGTTGAACCAAAGGAGAATACATATGAAAGGAATACAGAATGCCTTGTATTTTTTTCCATTATGAATATCCCTTGCCACCTGAAATTTGTATATTCCTAGATATCAATGAAGACATTTACAACATATGTGGATGCAGAAAATGCAAAAACTTTACATTAAAAAAGTATTTAATGATCAAAATTTTCTGAGGGAGAACCTCAAGGGTGTGCCTTTTCTGGCTTTCACCTCAAAAACTGCTGTTTCAATTTCTTCAGTCATGAAAGTCGTTTGGTTTTTTGCTTTAGGCGCGGATGACTCATGAACACATATGTACATATAGGGGGACCATTTACCTGAGCTGTGAGATATAAGGCAGACACTGTAGGAAACTCCTCACTTCACTCTCTTCATCTGAGCAGCCTGTCAGCACCACTGGTTTCTTCTCTGGTTGGAGTTTCAGCACTTCCAGGAGGATGGAGGTCTTTCCCTCTGAGAGGTTTATGAACCAGACTGCAGGAGCTGACTGGAAAACTGACTGGAATGATGGAAGGACCCTCAAGCCTGTTTCAGGATCATACAAGTACAGATCCAGCAGGAAATCACACCATTTCTCTTTAAGAGGGAATGATTGATATCTGCACACTGATGTTAACAGCTCCAGTATCTTCTCTCCTGTCTGCTGTTCTCTCTCTGCTGCTGCACAGAACAGATTCCCAAAGAACTCGACTTCACCTGAGCCTCTAAACCGCTGAGAGAATCTGGAACGAGAATTGAACATTTTGTTATGATCTGATGTCAACAGGATGTAAATTAGCTCCAATCCAGCATCCATGACCAATCACATGTTGGGATTAAAAATAAAAATGATTAAGAGCTCAAAATGTGAACTACTTCCAGAAATGTGGTTCATTAATATCAGTGTGTTTGTCGTAGCTCCACTAAAATCAATATGTTAGTCAACACTAACACATTGATGTACTTAGAGGGGAAACATCTTTTAATGCAGAAAACTATTGATTCATCCCTAGAATTTGCTAAATCACAGCAAAAAGCTGTAAAACAGTAAAAAAGAACATCAGTGGTCCTGAAGAAGACCAGAACTCCTCATCATCAACATAACGGTGATGGTCTCTGTTGCTGACATTGATGGAGCTTGTTGGATCACATCATTATAGCTGAGTCTCTGTTTCCTTTTTACTGAGTCCATAGATGACTGATGAAAACAGCCTCAAAGGAATAAACTCGGTGCTCGATGGAGGAAACGCGTATCAGCTCATGGGAGATGAGCATGGGTCTCATTTATAAACTGTGCGTATGTACAAAACAGGGCTGGAAACGTGCGTACGCCACTTCCAAAGCAAAGGTTGTGATCTATAAAAAACAAACTTGACGGGAGAATGTGCGTCCTGTAAGTAAACTCTGAACCATGCGTAGGCACGTAAAGAGGAGAAAAGAGAAACGGCGACTCACATGGCAGAAAGATGAAACGGTTTGAAATGAATAGGCCTACTATTGTGTATATTAAATCGAAATATTACCTCTGAGTATTATAGGTTTAAAGCCTTTCTGAAGAAACAAACACCCATTTGATTGATTTTCCCTGAAGTGTACAAAAAAATCATCATCAAGATCATTTGCAGCGTATAAACAGAACCAGAATTAGGAAAATACACACAAACGGAGATATCTGTTTCTGCAAAAGAACGCCTCAAATATGTTGTAGGCCTACAGTTTAATCAGGAATCATATTAATTAATACTTGCATGCAGGACAATTTATTCTCGTAAATAAAAGCGAACAAGATGAGAAATTACATTTAAATTGATGCCGTTATAATTGCATCAATCGAGCAAATACGAGTGCATAGTTTCTTGTACCCTATTGTTATCACGTGTTTGTTGCCTTACCGAGCAAAATGCTGTACAGCAGCGTGAATGTGATGCGCTGCTTGTAAAAACACATTATGGAAATACAAGACTATTTTATGTCATTTACAACAAGTCATATTTCTTTCAAATCATCAGGAGCCTCGTTAAGTGAGAGGACTGTAAATAAATAAATATTTAACCACAAGTGGAAGTCATTTGGTTTACTCTCTTTTCAAACAGGGGAATCCCAATTAGTAGTCATCCCGTCTTACTGTGTGTGTCCCTCCAGCCAGTGATGTCACTACTCAGGAGGTAGGCCCCTTCCTGCAGATCGGTTATAAAGGGGGGGTGTATAAAAGGCTCTGATATTTCTGGGTGCCTGCCGCTTTAAGACTCTTCTTCTGTGGTTACGGTAGGGGAAGTGTGTAGCTAGTGTGTTGGCTATAGTGGGAACTGAAAACTTTTCAAGTTCAACGAGCATAGTTTAGCCCACGTACCTGTGACGATTAGCATGTTTATTTCCTCCTGAATGATCCAGCTTCCAATATGCCATGTGTTGAGTTAATGACGAAAAGTAAGTGACAGCAACTTTGTTGTGTTTGTTTCTGTATTGTAGAGTTAACATGCATTCACATGTGGCCAGCGTGGTGAGTGAGATTTCTAATGTTAGCACAATGTTCATGTTGTAAAACGCTGCAGGAAATAATAAGTTACCTGGTGTGAGCCTTCTGATGTCTAAGTTATGCAGTGACACCTATAACCTTGAAGTAGTGAGTGTTCGTATCGTGTTTATTAGACCATGTGCAGACGCTATTGTGTAGTAGCCTCGGCTAGCCAGAGGGTGTCGCCATTGCTCCTTATGTGAACCCCTTTCAATGCAATCTATGATGTAAACTGGTCAGTGAGCTACGTGAAGCTCCTTATGTCTTTCCAAGGAGTAATATCCACATTTCTGTAATTGTAAACTTATGTTTAAAGGGGAATAGCAATGTTTTGAGATGTTTATGTTGGATGATTTAATTACATAATGTATGTGGATTTATTATTCACGTTGCATAGTAATTCAAGTACCTAATGGTGATTTATTTGGTTTATACAGACTATAATGACAAAGATGGAAATTGGAATGTTCTGATGAGTACTGCTGGAGCTCAATACAGTTGAAGGAAGAAATTACATCTCCTCGTCTTCATTCCTGTGTCCTGTCCGATACACCATCCTGTTCACTAGCTGAAAACCTTGATGAACTAGCCCTACCTAGTTGCCTCAGTAACATTGGTCCTTCGAGCCGGATCAGTAGTATTCAGGATGGAGTCAGAGGAAGAGATGTATCCTGATGTGAGACCTAAACGGCAAATACGTCGACCCACCAGACTTCAAGACTTTGAAGTGGACTATATGGGATATAGTCAACGAGATCAGTTGCAGTGGGCCCTGCCATCCCCTACCTTGGATGGGACAATGTTCCTCACCCGGGCGGGTCCAGGCCAGATGACCCCCTTTCAGACAACCCACTCTCACTCTGGCGGCTTCACTGGGAATGCTGCTCACCTTGAGATTCCTCAGCTAGCCCCAGCCCACAGCCAGAGGAGAGATTTGGATGGGTTTATCCTGCCTGCACAAACACCCTCATCCCAGCAGAGCCCAGCACTGGAGTCTCGTTTCCAGGAGGAAATTAGAGCTATTCGAGAGGAGAACGCTAAGCTGCTCCAAACACAACAGGCCTTCCAGACAGGTATAAAGGAACTTAATGAAGCACGGCACGAGATGAAAGAGCTAATGGAGGTGGCCCGTTCACTGAGAGCAGACCTGGCCCAAGCGAACAGCCCAGCCTCGAACTACAGTAACCCCAAATCTCTACAAACCGGTGCTGTAGCCTCAAGGAATTACCCTGTTGCAGCACACTCAAAGGAAATGGAGGTGGAGGACTGGCCTGATCCGCCACCCTGGCCTGAACCTGATGAGAACCTGTCGAGAGGCATGGGCAACCTCAGGATTGAGGAACAAGAGCTAGACAGTAGCTGGCTCTACTTCCCCCCTGAAGCTAGAGTATGTACGCCTTGTAAGCCTCCACCACTGACACAGCAGCCTCCTCAGCATCCTACTCCTGCTCCTGACCGAGGTAAATCACCATACCCCTCTGCACGACCCCCTCAGCTGCTCACACGCCCAGCCCCAACCCATGCACTCTTAATGCAATCAGCGCCTGCACAAGCCTACCATCAATTAGCAGCCACTGGAGCCGTACATGGCATGCCGCCACCTAATCAGTGTATGCAGCTACCAGGGAGAGAACAAGTGTATCGAGGGCCCCAACCCATAATCCCAAAGTTCATTCACCCGGATCCCAGTGAGTTTGCCCGGCTTTGCATAGCTCTACAGAACCTACTCCCATCTAATGCTACAGAATTCTTCAAGTATGCATATCTAAACTCACCAACCCCATATAGTGACACTATGGCAGCCCTCCATGATAAATTTGGTCAGCCCCATCAGCTCGCCTTAAGGAAGATAGCAAGCGTTCTAGAAACCCCTGAAGTCAAGCGTGGAGATACGGTGGCATTCCAAAGGTTCTCTCTCCAGATACAATCGTTAGTGGGCTTGTTGCAGACTTTGGGTCCTGAAGGGGAAATTGAACTGAACTGTGGCTCACATGTTGCTCGTCTGCTGAGTAAGCTCCCTCCCGAACAGCGAGCTGATTTCCGTCGTCATCAGTTCAAGCAGTTAGGGGCTACCCACACTCTGCAGGATTTGGCAGAATGGCTTCGCTATGAATCGTGGTGTCAGGGTTTCGACAGTCAGACTACTGGACGTAGCATTAAGGAAAGGCAGAATGTGAAGGCTGATGGTCGGCCTGCGATACAAACGGTGACCGTCCTACATGGAGCCGGTGAGTCTGCAGAGACTGCGTCTCTGTCCCACAAAGAGAATTCAGCGAAGAAAGGGGCCAAGAGTAAAGCCTACTGTGCCTACTGTGAGAGCACGGAGCATTATCTCAGTCAGTGCAGTGCAGTCTCCAACCTATCCAAAGACCAGCTTAGAGAGTGGATACGGGTTAACAAGCGGTGCTGGCGCTGTACACGTGCTCATCAAGCAGCCCAGTGCACATTGAAGAAACCCTGCAACATCTGTCAGGGAAAACATCTACTGGCTCTCCACGAGATAAATACAAGAGCAGAGAGGGGTAATAAAGATGTAGCAGTTAAAGAAGAGAGCTGCTTAACAAGCTCTGCCTCTGACTCACTTTACCTGGACAGACCTGGAGCTGGTAATCGAGTCATGTTAAAGGTCGTCCCTGTGCTTGTTCATTATGAGGACCGGACACTCGACACCTTTGCAATCCTCGATGATGGGTCAGAGAGGACTATGTTGTTGCCAGCAGCCGCTAAGTTTCTTGGCATCAAGGGCACTCCTGAAGCTCTTCCTCTGCGTACAGTCCGTCAAGACATCCAGATACTCCATGGACACACGGTGTCTTTCCGAGTCTCACCAGCTGCAAACCCTCGGACTAGCTACAAGATCAATGATGCCTTCACAGCTGGCCGCCTCAGCTTAGCGCACCATACTTACCCTATTGACCGCCTGCAGCGGAAATACAAACACCTGAGTGGCATCCCCTTACCTGCCTTCAGAGACGCTCAACCAACACTCCTGGTAGGTTCCGACAACCCTCAGCTGATAACACCTGTCGAGCCCGTCAGACTTGGTCCACCAGGTGGCCCAGCCGCAGTTCACACCAGGCTTGGGTGGACTCTTCAAGGCCCCACTCCATTCATGGGGCGGCCCATCCAACCTGCGCAGTGTCTGTTCACTTCATCTACGCCACCAATGGAGGAGCTTTATAAGCATGTTGAGAGGCTCTGGCAAGTAGACACTGTACCTTACCGACATGAGAGAGAAGTGACTCGGTCAAAGCAGGATCAGCAGGCTGTAGCATTGCTTGAAGCCAAGACTGTCCGCACTGAGGTAGATGGAATTCTCCGGTACGCCACACCATTGCTGCGCCAGGCAAGCATGCCCCCTTTGCACTCACCGAAGGAATCAGTTATGCCAATGCTGCGTAGTACTGAGAAGCGTCTCTTGAAAGACCCCAAACTGGCGGACGCCTACAGGATGGAAATGCAGAAGCTGATTGAAGCAGGTGCTGTGCGGGAAGTCACTGAGGAGACCTCCACCAAAGAAGGCTGGTACATCTCACATCACCTCGTCAGCCACAACGGAAAGAACCGCCTTGTCTTTAATTGCTCACACCCATACCTCGGACAGACCCTGAACCAGTACCTGCTACCTGGCCCTACCCTCGGTGCCCCGTTGCTGGGGGTCCTAGTGAGATTTCGTGAACATCCCATAGCTGTTAGTGGCGACATCAAGGGGATGTTCCACCAAGTCCGTCTCATCCCTGAAGATCGTCCTCTCCTAAGGTTCCTGTGGCGGGACCTGAAGGTGGAAGAGTCCCCAAGAACATTTGAGTGGCAAGTTTTGCCTTTTGGCGCCACCTGCAGCCCCTGCTGTGCAACATACGCCCTGCAGCGTCATGTTGTTGACCACTGCCAGCCTGATGACAACCTGAGATTCTCTGTCGAGAACTGCTTTTACGTCGATAACTGCCTGCAGAGTGTGTGTACACCAGGTGAAGCCAAGCTGCTGGTGGATCGGCTGAGGGATATTCTGACTGCTGCGGGCTTCGAGTTGCGTCAATGGGCCTGCAACGATCCAAGCGTCCTGGGCCATTTGCCTCAAGAGGCCAGATCAGAGAGCCTGGACCTGTGGCTGGCACAAGATAAGTCCAACCCTCTGGAGTCAACACTTGGTCTCAGCTGGAATTGGGCAACAGACTCCTTGGGCTACAAACATAGGCCTGTTGCCTACGAGGCACCAACCTTGAGGAACATTTACCGAGTCCTAGCTACTCAATATGATCCCTTGGGTTACATGTTACCTTTCTCCACCCGAGCAAAGCTCATCATTAGGCAGCTGTGGGATAAGAAGCGAGGTTGGGATGACTCTAACTTACCTGCTGAACTCCTGCAAGCCTGGTTCAGCTGGGAGGCTGAACTTCAGTCCTTACCTCTTCTTACCTTTCCGCGTGCATATGCGCCTGCGGACGCCAACCTTGAGGATGCCACCCGTGAGGTGCACATCTTCGCAGACGCCTCTGAACAAGCTTATGGAGCTGTAGCCTACATGAGAACTGAGGACAAGGAAGGCCAGATCCACCTTTCCTTCATCCTAGCTCGTTCCCGAGTAGCTCCAAGACGTCTGCATTCCATCCCACGCCTGGAGCTCTGTGGAGCTCTGGTTGCAGCGCAGCTAGCTCGTGTCCTCGAGAGGGAACTTACCTTGACAGTAGATCGTACTGTGTTGTGGTCAGACTCCACTACAGTGCTAACTTGGCTGCACTCCCAGTCTTGCCGCTACAAGGTCTTTGTAGGCGCCAGAATAGCTGAGATACAGGAGTTAACAGGGACGTGCACCTGGCGCTATGTGGACTCGGCGAACAATCCTGCTGATGATCTGACGAGAGGGAAGACCCTGGAAGCCCTTATAGATCCCAACCGATGGTCACACGGACCTCCCTTTCTTCTCCAGAACCCAGCCACCTGGCCAGTAAGGCCCCGCACTGAGCCACTTGAGGACAAAGCGGAACTCCGCAAGGCTACCTTCTGTGGAGTAACAGTTACCTCACCGACGTCTATCAGCCAGGATGACAAGGTGTACCGCACCTGGCAGGAGCTCATAGATGCCACCGCTCAAGGAATCCAAGGACAAACGCCTTCCAGTCCTCCGCCTAATGCTGAACAGTATCAACAGGCAGAGATGATCGTTCTCCAGCGAGCCCAACAACAGTCATTTCCAGAGGACTACAAACTCCTGGCAGCAGGGAAATCCGTCTCCTCTGGAAGTCGATTACTTACCTTGGCTCCGGAGTTTATAGTATAAATCCACGGGCCTCATAAGGGTAGGAGGTCGGCTCCGACGTTTGGAAGGTCAAGACGACATGACATTGCACCCTGTTGTCCTGGATGCCTCACACCCAGTTACATGCTTGCTTATCCAAAAGGTATGATGGCGACCTGCACCATCGTGGTCCAGAGCGAGTCTTTGCAGAGTTGCGGCGGTCATTCTGGATAATCCATGGAAGGGAGGCCATTCGCAGACACCAGCGTTCCTGTGCGGAATGTCCGCGCTGGAGAGCTCAGCCTTCCATTCCCAGAATGGCGGACCTTCCCACTGCTCGTCTTCGATTACACAAACCAGCCTTCCACTCCACCGGTGTGGATTGTTTCGGGCCCATGTTGGTGAAGGTGGGCAGACGCCAAGAGAAACGCTGGGGGATAATATTTAAGTGTCTAACAACCAGGGCGGTACACCTGGATCTCCTCAGAAATATGGATGCAGACGCTTACTTGATGGCCCTAAGACGGTTCATTGCCAGAAGAGGGACACCTGCAGAGTTGTGGTCGGACCAGGGGACCAATTTCAAAGGGGGAAAACGGGAGCTTAGAGAGGGTTTCACCAGTATGGAGCCAACCTTGAGGAAACGACTTGCACGTCAGGGGATTAAGTTCCAGTTCAACCCCCCAGCAGCTCCACACTTTGGCGGAGTGTGGGAGAGAGAGGTCCGCTCCGTCAAGTCTGCACTCTACACCTGTGTGGGGGCCCAACCTGTTCATGAAGACGTCCTTCTCACAGTTCTCCTGGAAGTTGAGGCAATTCTCAACTCCAAACCACTGGGTTATGTATCCGCCGACATTGCAGATCTTGACCCTGTGACACCCAATAGTCTGCTTATGGGGCGGCCTGATGGCTCCCTCCCCCAAGTGGTCTATCCTGAGACGGAGCTCCTGAGCCGCAGACGTTGGCGGCATTCACAAGTTCTCGCTGACCAATTCTGGTCCAGATTCATCAGAGAATACCTCCCTGGGCTGCAGACCAGACAGAAATGGCACTCCTCTTCTCCTGAACTATTGGACAAGGCCGTTGTCATGTTGGTGGACCCACAGCTGCCTCGAGCCCTGTGGCCCATTGGGCATGTAACCAAGATTCACCGCAGTGACGATGGGTGTATTAGATCTGCTGATGTGGACATCAAAGGACATGTGTACACCCGACCGGTAGCTCGGTTAGTGATGTTGCCGGCTCTCCCGTCCGAAGAGGACGACACCTCTGTGAGCCCCCCACAACCTGACTGATAAGCCTTTTATTGGAAGCAAATGTGCATTGCACATTTGGGGGCGACTGTATAAAAGGCTCTGACATTTCTGGGTGCCTGCCGCTTTAAGACTCTTCTTCTGTGGTTACGGTAGGGGAAGTGTGTAGCTAGTGTGTTGGCTATAGTGGGAACTGAAAACTTTTCAAGTTCAACGAGCATAGTTTAGCCCACGTACCTGTGACGATTAGCATGTTTATTTCCTCCTGAATGATCCAGCTTCCAATATGCCATGTGTTGAGTTAATGACGAAAAGTAAGTGACAGCAACTTTGTTGTGTTTGTTTCTGTATTGTAGAGTTAACATGCATTCACATGTGGCCAGCGTGGTGAGTGAGATTTCTAATGTTAGCACAATGTTCATGTTGTAAAACGCTGCAGGAAATAATAAGTTACCTGGTGTGAGCCTTCTGATGTCTAAGTTATGCAGTGACACCTATAACCTTGAAGTAGTGAGTATTCGTATCGTGTTTATTAGACCATGTGCAGACGCTATTGTGTAGCTCCTTATGTCTTTCCAAGGAGTAATATCCACATTTCTGTAATTGTAAACTTATGTTTAAAGGCGAATAGCAATGTTTTGAGATGTTTATGTTGGATGATTTAATTACATAATGTATGCGGATTTATTATTCACGTTGCATAGTAATTCAAGTACCTAATGGTGATTTATTTGGTTTATACAGACTATAATGACAAAGATGGAAATTGGAATGTTCTGATGAGTACTGCTGGAGCTCAATACAGTTGAAGGAAGAAATTACATCTCCTCGTCTTCATTCCTGTGTCCTGACCGATACACCATCCTGTTCACTAGCTGAAAACCTTGATGAACTAGCCCTACCTAGTTGCCTCAGTAACAGGGGGAGCTCCGGTGCCCCCTTTCCTCCGGTGCACAAGCGTTGCATGAAAATGCGTTTTTTACCCACCAAACAACATGCTTCAGCTTCACCAAAAGGAAGATTAGTGTCACACTGAGTTAAATTTAGTTTTATAGCTTTTCTGTCAGATTTTGCCTCCTTTTCTTCCTGCAGTCAGTACATATTAATATTAATGAGGAGTGGTTCACTGACCATTTATAAGCAACTAGGGGCATTTTAAGGTTCGGACATGGAGCTCCCTCACATGCACCACATTTCAAGTTGAATGTGATTTATAAAGGGAAATTGCTTACAGATGTGCGTACACATGGTTATATAAGTCCGAATATTTTTTGTTGTACGCCATTTTTGGCTTTTGGTTGCATGTACACTTTTAGTGAGATTTCTACACGCAGTTTTATAATGGGACCCCAGAAGTCTGTTCGAGCATTGCTGGGGTGTGATATGCACAGAACTCTGGTTAATGTAGGAATAAACACGTTGGGCCGCGTGGAATAAAATAGCATGTCATCTATCAAACTAAACACGATGATATGACATTTATTTGGACTGATCACCTCAACACTTTACCATCACCTTCAAACTAACAGTGAGTTTCCAGAAATGTCCACTGAAGTCATGTGAAGTACAATTCATTTACCTGAGCTGTGAGATATAAGGCAGACACTGTAGGAAACTCCTCACTTCACTCTCTTCATCTAAGCAGCCTGTCAGCTCCACTGGTTTCTTCTCTGGTTGGAGTTTCAGCACTTCCAGGAGGATGGAGGTCTTTCTCTCTGAGAGGTTTATGGACCAGACTGCAGGAGCTGACTGGAAAACTGACTGTAATGATGGAAGGACCCTCAAGCCTGTTTTAGTCTCATAGTCCTTCAGGCGGGAGCACAGATCCAGAAGGAAACCAGACTGACATTTGTGTTTACCATCATCCAAGTTTCTGTCATTAAGAGGGAATGTTTGATATCTGCACACTGATGATAACAGCTCCAATATCTTCTCTCCTGTCTGCTGTTCTCTCTCTGCTGCTGCACAGAACAGATTCCCAAAGAACTCGACTTCACCTGAGCCTCTAAACCGCAAAGAGACACTGGAACGAGAATTGAACATTTTGTAATGATCTGATGTCAACAGCAGAAAAAGAGCCATGCATCACTGATATGGAGTTTATCTGCTAAAAGCCTACAAATACCTGCTGATGAGCAGAATACAGTAAAATCAATCAACCTAGAACTCGAAAACAATTATTTTAACAGGGTGTATTTGGATTTTAGAAGAGTTTTTTAAAAAAATTATTGACAAAATGTTGAATGAAGCAGGAAAGTCAGGCTACAAAGGTGTATCCTCTCCTCTGTATTACAGATTGTATGTTATACTGGAATACCACTCCTGAACCAACAGGGTGGCTGAAAGGAAAACTTTACCCAAAACATTTATTAATCAATCAGCTCCAAAGCTGAGATACTGGACCACAAGTTTTAACACCCATCATTCTGTAAAACATTATTATTAAAATGATTAAGAGCTCAAAATGTGAACTACTTTCAGAAATGTGGTTCATTAATATCAGTGTGTTCGTCGTAGCTCCACTAAAATAAATATGTTAGTCAACACTAACACATTGATGTACTTAGAGGGGAAACATCTTTTAATGCAGGAAACTACTGATTTGCTAAATCACAGCAAAAAGCTGTAAAACAGTAAAAAAGAACATCAGTGGTCCTGAAGAAGACCAGAACTCCTCATCATCCACACAACGGTGATGGTCTCCGTTGCTGACATTAATGGAGCTTGTTGGATCACATCATTAAAGCTGAGTCTCTGTTTCCTTTTTACTGAGTCCATAGATGACTGATGAAAACTCTGGGTAATGTAGGAATAAACACATCGGGCTGCGTGGAATAAAAAAGCATGTCATCTATGAAGCTAAACACAGTGATATAACGTTTATGTGGACTGATCACCTGAACACTTTACCTTCACCTTCAAACTAACAGTGAGTTTCCAGAATTCTCCATTGAAGTCATGTGAAGTACAATTCATTTACCTGAGCTGTGAGATATAAGGCAGACACTGTAGTAAACTCCTCACTTCATTCTCTTCATCTGACCAGCCTGTCAGCTCCACTGGTTTCTTCTCTGGTTGGAGTTTCAGCACTTCCAGGAGGATGGAGGTCTTTCCCTCTGAGAGGTCTATGGACCAGACTGCAGGAGCTGACTGGAAAACTGACTGTAATGATGGAAGGACCCTCAGGCCTGTTTCAGGATCATCAGAGTGCAGGTCCAGCAGGAAATCAAACCATTTCTCTTTAAGAGGGAATGATTGATATCTGCACACTGGTGATAACAGCTCCAGTATCTTCTCTCCTGTCTGCTGTTCTCTCTCTGCTGCTGCACAGAACAGATTCCCAAAGAACTTGACTTCACCTGAGCCTCTAAACTGCTGAGAGACACTAGAACGAGAATTGAACATTTTGTTATGATCTGATGTCAACAGCAGTAAAAGAGCCATGCATTACTGATATGGAGTGTGGGGGAGGACTATCGCTGCCGACATGTTGGCTAGACTGCAGCCAGTTAGAACAGCCCAGAAGTAAACAGCTGATATTCAGCATGACATAGTTAAAGGGAACACTAATGGGGAAATACTGAGACGTTTCTAGGTGAATATATATTGAAATAGTGTTTGCTGTGCCGCTATTTGGTTGTTCCATAAGACTGTGTCGGTGCAGACAACCAGTAAGTAAATTCGACATTTGCTTTTAGTTTTACCTCATAAGAATGTTTACTTTGTTTTCGTTTTCAAAGTAACTTCATCCGATATACTGTTGTTTGTTTGTTGTTGCTGTATAATGGCGGAGCGTAGTAGTTGGCTGAACATTTGTCACTGCTCGTGTTAATGAATAACGTTCTATATTATGGAGGTGCAGCCTTTTAAGCCTTGAATACTGTACGGTGGTTATTTCCTTGTAGTTCGCCACACAATGAAAACCATGTTCATTACTGTGCAATTTGATATTATTAATAATTATATGGATGTATCAAGTACAGCATCCAGTGCCTACCAACTAATTTACACCACTGGCCTTAATACTGACTAGGATTAACTGATTTACTATGATGCCTTTACGTTGTATTTACCAGTTAATGTTTGAGTAGATATTTCGGAGACATGACCACTATTATTAGGGCCCGAGCAGGAAACCTGTGAGGTCCCTATTGAAACTGAAGTGACTTTTTTCCCCCCTGCAAAGTAACCTCAATTTTGGGGGCCTAAATGTACTTGAAAACTCACCAAACTTTGCACATAATTCAGGTGCGGCAAAATTTTTTGTATTTTATGGGTTTCGTACATGAGCGTGGCAAAATGTCTCGCTAGCGCCCCCTACAGAGCAGTACCCAGACAAAGTTTCACCTACGTGCATGATATTTCTATGGTATGTGTATCCTGTCCAGACGCACAAAAAAGCCTTTTGCCTCTTGGATTAAATGGTCATTTTTGGTGATTTACACAATTTGTACTTTAACAAACTCCTCCTAGGGAATTAGTCCAATCGACTTCTAATTTCGCTGTGTAGTCTAAACCCATTGACAACTAAAAGATGTAAAAACGGTGAGTTTTTCATCCACAAGTGTGCCTGTGTGGCGTGGTGTCCAAAATCGATGATTCGCCACAAAACAGCAAGATGTTAGAATTTCAGTCTACATGCTGACATCTGTACCAAATTTCACATGTATGATAAAAGTCCCGCCCTGAACACATCCATATGCCAATATTCACTGAACGTCATAGTGCCACCTGCTGGCAAGAGGAAATGACATTTTACAATATGATGGAAGACTCCTAGCAGGTTGGGCATATCTACTTCAAAACTATCCCAGAAAACCCTTAATATGTTGACGATGCCTTGTTGGAAATGTTGAGAGTTTTCGGTTAACAGCATGGTGGTGGCATGGCGGCAAAGTCCCACGCTTTGCCATGACACAGGATATTGTTGTAACTTGACAAGCTCAGATCTGTACCAAATTTTACATGTTTAATAGGAGTCCCACCCTGAACATATGTACATGCCAACATTCACCCACAGTCATAGCGCCACCTGCTGGACACAGGATATGACCTTTAAAGAAGCAGCCCCCGTGGCACGTTTCACCTACATGTATGAAATTTCTGTGGCACATGCATCATGTCCAGACGCACAGAAAAGCCTCTTGGAGCCATTACCTAAACCAAACTGGAAGTCGGCCATTTTGGATTTAATGGTCATTTTTGGCGATTTACAAACCTTGTAATTTAACAAACTCCTCTTAGGGATTTAGTCCGACCCACTTCAGATTTGTGCTGTGCAGTCTAAGCCAACTGACGATTAAAAGTTGTGCAAACGGTGAGTTTTCATGGATCGGCGTGCCCGTGGCATCCAAAATCGATGATTCACCATAAAACAGGAAGGTATTGGAACTTCAGTCTACACGCTCACATCTGCACCAAATTTGAAATACATTATAACAGTCCCGCCCTGAACGCATCCATATGCCAATATTCTCTCAGAGTCATAGCACCACCTGCTGGCAACAGGAAATGACTGTAATGTAATACTCTTAGCAGGTTGGACATTGATGAAGCCATATTGCAAAACTTGTGAGTTTGCACCCAAAGGCGTGGCAGTGAAGTTAAACTCTTCACCATGACACAGGACATTGTTGTAACTTCAGTGTACATGCTCACATATGCACAAAACTTTACGTGCTTGATAACTGTCCTGCCCTGAACACATCTCCATGGCAATATTTATTTATAGTCGTATTGCCAAGTGCTCTAGAACGCCACAAAGAGGACACAGGAAGTGACATAACACCTTCATGCAGCATCCGAAGCATGTAGCCTAATGCTGCTTGCAGCTTTGAGTTTGCATCTGCTTTGGATTAAGCCTCTGTTATTACCCCAGTTAAGTCACGTCTGACAGAAATGTGATTTATTATGGTTGTTAAATTGTAAAACTTTAAGGAATTAATCTGTTAAATATACATATAGATTGTACCAATTATATTTTCTTTATCTCTGTTGCAGAACCGCAATCAAAAAATCTACTCAGCTTCTGTTTCAATAAATAACTAAAAGGAACATCTTGTCTGGACTGCATACTAACCAATGTCCCCTGAGTCTTCACACCATGTCCCACACACATTATATACCGTCCTTTTCAAGTCACCAAAACATGGAGTTTATCTGCTAAAAGTCTACACGTACCTGATGAGCAGAAAACAGTAAAATCAAATCAACCTGAAACTCAAGTAACAATGATTTTAACTGGGATATTGGGGATGTCCCAATCTGATATCAAAGATCTGGATGGGTGCTGATCACGGCATTTAATAACTGATTGGTATCTGCTTTATTGAGACCAAAAATAAGCCGTATCCTTTGATTTGCTTTAGCTGTCACACAAGTGTCGCAAACAGAGATCAGTTTGTGGCTAAAATGTCTGCAGTGTGGAATAACAGCCATTTGTAACGTCTGCAATGAGAGCATTTTGCAATAAAATACTGAATAAAATACTGAAAATATTCAACTTGAGCGGTTGGACAGAGCGGAGGGAAAGTGCCTCTGCTCTGCGCCGGAGCTTTTGGACCAATAAACACCCAAAGTCGCCTCGGATTCTGCTGCATAAGGAGCCGTTTACATATGGTAGGAGCTCAGAGTTAATGTCTTTTATTAAATGAACTTTTCAATCCCAAATATTAAAATTATAAAGTGAATTTAACCTCAATCACGCTTCTTAACATGTCTGCTGCAGGGAGTCACAGAGTTGCTCTGTGATATTACTTCATACAGAAACCGGACAAAACAGAAGATTGCTTCAAGAAAAATAATTGAGGAAGATGAACTGTTAAATTCAAAAAATATGTCTGTTACTTGATTCCAGTTATTGTTGTACTTTGCTATAAAAACAAGTTAGCATAGCCCTGATCAGTCCGAACGCCATTTAGAAAACAAACATTTTAAAAGTTGTTTGCTAAACTGAACTCCTCATTATCAACACAATGGTGATGGTCTCTGTTGCTGACATTGCTGGAGCTTGTTGGATCACATCATTATAGCTAAGTCTCTGTTTCCTTTTTACTGAGTCCATAGATGACTGATGGAGTCAGCCTCAAAGGAACAAACTTGGTGCTCAATGGAGGAAACATGTATCAGCTCATGGGAGATGAGCAGGACTCTGTGGGAGCGTTGCTAGGGGGGTTTGATCTGCACAGAACTCTGGGTAATGTAGGAATATACACATTGGGCTGCGTGGAATAAACAGGATGTCATCTATAAATCTAAACACAGTGATATAACGTTTATGTGGACTGATCACCTGAACACTTTACTTAGTTTCCAGAAATGTCCACTGAAGTCATGTGAAGTACAATTAATTTACCTGAGCTGTGAGATATAAGGCAGACACTGTAGGAAACTCCTCACTTCACTCTCTTCATCTGAGCAGCCTGTCAGCTCCACTGGTTTCTTCTCTGGTTGGAGTTTCAGCACTTCCAGGAGGATGGAGGTCTTTCTCTCTGAGAGGTTTATGGACCAGACTGCAGGAGCTGACTGGAAAAGTGCTCTCAGTTTTGGAATGACACCTGAACACCCTTTACTCTTGAAATGCTGGTAAAAATCAAGGAGGATGTTATGTAAGTCAGTATTCACACAAAACAATGAGAGAAGTTTGTTCGCTACTCTGTGAAAGCTCTCTCCTTTGTGAAGTGCTGCTCTCAGGAATAAATCCAGTAACAGCTCATTTTCTTCCCTTTCCAGTGTCCCCTGACTTTGCTGCTGGTCCTGTGATGCTGGACCTCTGTAGGTCCTCCTGAAGCTGCATGACAACAAACATGTATTAAACAGTGCACTATAAAACACACAGTTCTAAACAAATACAACATTCACACTGTGCTGATGCTGATTATAAAGAGTAAAATTCAATATTTATTTCACAAAAGAAAAAAGGGGAAACCCATCTGGGAGGCATCACAAGAGATCAAAGTTTACACTCACCTAAAGGATTATTAGGAACACCTGTTCAATTTCACATTAATGCAATTATCTAATCAACCAATCACATGGCAGTTGCTTCAATGCATTTAGGGGTGTGGTCCTGGTCAAGACAATCTCCTGAACTCCAAACTGAATGTCAGAATGGGAAAGAAAGGTGATTTAAGCAATTTTGAGCGTGGCATTGTTGTTGGTGCCAGACGGGCCGGTCTGAGTATTTAACAATCTGCTCAGTTACTGGGATTTTCACGCACAACCATTTCTAGGGTTTACAAAGAATGGTGTGAAAAGGGAAAAACATCCAGTATGCGGCAGTCCTGTGGGTGAAAATGCCTTGTTGATGCTAGAGGTCAGAGGAGAATGGGCCGACTGATTCAAGCTGATAGAAGAGCAACTTTGACTGAAATAACCACTCGTTACAACCGAGGTATGCAGCAAAGCATTTGTGAAGCCTCAACACGCACAACCTTGAGGCGGATGGGCTACAACAGCAGAAGACCCCACCGGGTACCACTCATCTCCACTACAAATAGGAAAAAGAGGCTACAATTTGCAAGAGCTCACCAAAATTGGACAGTTGAAGACTGGAAAAATGTTGCCTGGTCTGATTAGTCTCGATTTCTGTTGAGACATTCAGATGGTAGAGTCAGAATTTGGCGTAAACAGAATGAGAACATGGATCCATCATGCCTTGTTACCACTGTGCAGGCTGGTGGTGGTGGTGGTGTAATGGTGTGGGGGATGTTTTCTTGGCACACTTTAGGCCCCTTAGTGCCAATTGGGCATGGTTTAAATGCCACGGCCTACCTGAGCATTGTTTCTGACCGTGTCCATCCCTTTATGGCCACCATGCACCCATCCTCTGATGGCTACTTCCAGCAGGATAATGCACCATGTCACAAAGCTCCAATCATTTCAAATTGGTTTCTTGAACATGACAATGAGTTCACTGTACTAAAATGGCCCCCACAGTCACCAGATCTCAACCCAATAGAGCATCTTTGGGATGTGGTGGAACGGGAGCTTCGTGCCCTGGATGTGCATCCCACAAATCTCCATCAACTGCAAGATGCTATCCTATCAATATGGGCCAACATGTCTAAAGAATGCTTTCAGCACCTTGTTGAATCAATGCCACGTAGAATTAAGGCAGTTCTGAAGGCGAAAGGGGGTCAAACACAGTATTAGTATGGTGTTCCTAATAATCCTTTAGGTGAGTGTATATTCATCATACACAATGGCGCCTGTCCGATTCAGACAAATTTAACCAATAACTTTATTAAGGTTTAGCAATAGCTGATCTCTGCTGAGCCATGTGAACTCACTGATACTTTTTTACTTCCAGTTAATTACTTCCTGTGTCTCGTTCTCTGTAATTGTTTTCATCTGGTTTCATTCGTTCTTTACTTTTTGTCTTACTGTGGTATCTTCCTTTTCTTCTCATTTTCTGGTTACTTCCCTTCCTGCTCTTGTGTTTTCCCACTAGTTTGATTGTCTTACGTTTACCACATTTTTTCCACCTGTGCCTCGTTTGATTCCCTCATTTTGACTATTTTGGTTGAAACAGATACGCAGTCTGCCAATTTCTCTTTGTAATATTTAATAGATGCTGGACAGGTTTTTTTTATGATGTATCACAACCAAAACTGGAGGTCTTATCTGACCATGGAATAAGGCTTGAAAAAAAAGATATTTTCATTTTGACATTAACAGTTTTACAAAAATATAAAAGTTAATGTGAAATCAGCATCACACAAAAACAAAAGCTACATACCTGAGTGAGCGGATATATGGCAAAGCCTCTAATAGGGTCTCGCACAGACTTTGGCAGGCAGGAGTTTCCCTGTCCCAGTGGAGGCAGATATTAACCTGCGTAGTGATCTTCTGCATGACTTTTACTGCTCTTTCAAACAGCTGTCTTTTACCCTCAACTGGAAGGTGCAACTGATTTCCATCCAGGCTGAGTAAGCTGATGTGGTTCATCTGCCATCTGTCCACATTGAGAAGGAAAATCTCCCACAGCTGCCGTGGCAGAGGACCACACCTGTAATTTAAGAATAATCAGAGACAATTTCCTCATTTAAAAAGTAATAGAGTAGAGTAACAGTAATGTTTCATAAAATAAAGTCTGTTTATGTTAAAGAAGCTACAGCAGAAGTTCCAAACTTCATTTTCCATCCATCTTTTACACGCACTTATCCTGTTCAACTATTTAGTCATCCTCGTTACCTCTTTGATTAATTAGGCACAAAGCCAAACTACAACTTAATTAGATATGTGGTAACCTAAACAGTAACTTGACACTTTCTACACACGCTCACACATACCACTGGACATTTTGAAGGCATCCTAACAGTCGTCTCATTCCTTGCTCTGACACCATGATGTCCTCCAGGTTCAGACTTATTTTCCTCTCCTTCGATTGAGTGACCACGTAGGCCACAGCAGAGCAAAGGTAAGGCTCGAGACTCTCTCCACTGAGATCAAGATGGTAGTCCAGTTTCTCCAGAAAGCTGATGCATGCTTCAGGACACTGGGACTCATACAAGCACTGACATAAGAACAGTATGTCCACATCAAGCCCATTGTCCTCTGTATCAGCCTCTAAAAATGTGGTTATCAGTTCCTCGAAGAACCGGTCAGACGTGTTCTTGAGCTCCTGAGCTGGAATCAGATGCTTCATCAAACTAGGTCTCTTGTCAGTCAGCAGTCGACACATGAAAGGGATCAGATGTTTCATGTGTTTCTTCTCCTCAGTGAGGCACTGTTGAAAAACATCCCTGATCTTATCTGGATTCTTCAGCAGCCACAGTGCTGCAAAAAACTCCTGCATTGTGTAATGGAGAAATGCATGAGTGGTGATTGTCTCAGTGGGGGCCACTTTGATAACAAGAGGTTTCAGGAAGGAGAGGACGCAGCTGTCTTCACAGGGCAGTTCTGTCAAGTTCACAGTTTTTTCTACAGTTGCTTTAAAAGCAAATTCAGCCAGAGACAGAATTTCTTCACTCTTGTTGTTGATGAAGGAATTTAGATCTTTGGTTTTTGTTTTCTTGCTGATTGTTTGAAGGCAACGACGAACAATATTGATGTAGATTTCAGTTACAGTGCATGGCTGTGGAGAGCCTTCTGGTGTCTCTGATGAAAAGCAGACAGCCACCATCAGTGCATACATTGGGACATGGCAAAGAGTTAACAACTCCAGGTTGCTCAAAACCTTCTCCTGTTCTTCTCCTAGAGTTGCAGATAAATATTTTTTTATGGTCTGCTCACTAAAGCCTTTCACTTCCACTCTGAGGAAGTCCCCAGAAAGGAAGTCTTCTTCATCATCTGGTCTGCAAGTTACAATGACCTTGGCATCAGGTAGTAGATCCTTCTCTACAACCCTCTTCACCACTGATGAAGAGAGATCTGTGATTCCATCAAAAATTAGTGTAACGTTGTCAGAGTTCTTCTTTATGTCCTGTAAGACCTCTTCTTTGCCTTCATCTGGCTCACTGAACACACTGAAAAGAAGATCCTCCAGGCTCTTGGCCATCATGATGTGGGATGTTTCTCTCATGTCAAAGTAGAACATGTAGTCGAGCTCCTTGTTGTCTCTTTCTGCCCAAAGTTTCAACATTTCGTGAGTGAGTGCTGTCTTTCCAATTCCAGGCTTACCAACCAAGAGGATGTTTTTATCGGTCTTCAGCAGCTCACTGGGGGAAATGTCTGGTCTGTCCTCAGGGATGTATGTCCTCAGCTTTTTAGGGCGACTCATCTTGCTCTTCTTGCTCTTCAGCTTCTTTATTTTAGATGGAGAAACACTTTCTTGTGTGTCTAACACAAGGTCAGTGTACGACAGATCAGGCTTGTTGTTTCCTTCAAACTGATTTTTGTTTGCTTTCCAAAACAAATTTGATATTTTTTGTGCTTTTGACTTTAACTTCGCCTGATATCTGAGGCACGGCCTGGAGCCTAAAATAAAAACAGGGAGGATATAGATATACTGTGAATTAACTGCTGCGCCCTCACACTAAATGACAGATACATATTTATACAGACACATTAAAGTGCATTATATAAAATCAGCACATCAAAGATAATAAAACTGTGACATGCTATCAATCAGAATTCAAAATACCTTGTAAGTAGTTTATATCCATCTGTGTGTCGTCCTTGAAAGAAAAGCAGCTGATCCAGTGGTGCAGGTCAAACTTCTTGGTCTCAGTAGAAGCTGAACTCTTTGTCTCAGGGAGAAGGGATGTCCTCCCTAAGGTCCTCTTCCTCGTCACGTAAATAATCCTGAGGAACACTTGGCACGCTGCTTCCCCCTTCTTAGTGACTGAGTCCAGTATTCTCCTGGTTTTATCGTAGTCATCTCTCTCTGCCTGTATTTTACTGACCTCTTCATCACTAAAAACTTCTTTCTGGTACAAGTTCTCCACAACCACTGACAGATTATTTAAATCTCTCACAAGGTGGACTCTGGCACTTCTGACGTAGTCTAAGGCCGACTGTGTTGTACATGCCATGTGGGTCAGAGTATCTGTGGATAATCCGTAATTCGTTTGTAATACAAAAACGAAAATACCGTTTATTCGTTTTTTGTTTCAAAACGAAAAACCAAATAACCGTTTTTTGTGTCAGAATCAAAAAACGAAAAACCAACTAAAACGGCCCGTTTTTGTTTTTTCGGTGATTCATTTTATCATAATTCCTTCTGGAACAAAGAATGAAGAGAGTCTCTGAAACTTCAGTCTATTCGTTTCTCGTTATAAACCAAAAACGGAAGTCACGTGGTCTATTCCTTTTTTGGAAGGGATAGTAACCAGTAAAACCTTCAAAATAAAAGTAGCCCATGTACCATGCAGTTAGACTAAAACTAAACTAAAAGAACGTTTTTTTAGTAAAACTAAAGTAGCACTGGGTGTAAAAAAAACACTTTAGTTAACTGAAATAATCACAATAAATAATAAAATAATAACTCTTTGGCTGTTAGGCAGAATTAAACATTTGTAAGACCATTGGTGACCTGTAACTTCAGATTAGGACAATTTAACTAATGTTATATGTAGCTTAGGATCGCAGTTAGCCTATTTATTTAAGTTTATATTATTTAATTCCTATTTTAGTTTCTTAACACATATAACATATTTTTAAGCCTTCATGCTGTGTGTGAGCTCCACCAGCAGAGGGCACTCTACCCCCTTGAGTCCTTCTGTGGCGCCAACAGGCAACAAGCTTTTGACCTTTTGACTTGTGTTTCTATCAAAGAGAAGCCTGCACTGCGACCAGAGGAAGCTGATCACTGAGTTTGAAGGGTGTGCAGAACTTCCCCTACCTCCAGCTTCTCTTTCTATGGAGCTGCTAAAAACTCTCTAGCTTCCACCATCTGCTGTTATGAGTCAGAACAAAACTCTTCCAAAACAAATCTGTGGAGTTCTAAACTTCTTATTTTCCTTTGCTATTTTCGCCTGTGTAAACTACTTATGTTAATTAAGTAGATTAAATATTTTTAATGCAGCCTGTAGTTCTCATAAGTTAGGCATACTTATGTGTGAAACCTGGTGAGCATTAATAGCTCCCGGGCTTTCAGATCTTTTAATGCTTTTTTGGGTTTAATTCTGTTTGATGAACCACCAGATAAAAGCCGTGCTCTGTCCTGTTTGTACTTGTGTAAAGTAAAATAAAAGTGAAGTTGAGTCATTTAGTTTTTCTCCCTGGTACTCATCTCACGACCTCCCAGATTTTCCCCAGTACCTGGAGGATGTGAGCCTGTGCAGGTTTGAGGACTGATGATAGTATCAAGGCTGGTCCCATCACCTACCATCACTCTCTGTTCAGATAAATGCTGGACTGGCAGGACAAAGCAGAACACCACTCCTTCCTCCAGCACCAGAAAAGGACCTGTTGGCACTTTCAGATATTTACATCACGATTTATGGGAACCACACCTTGTAACTGTGGCTCTGTTTTTGTAAATAAGGATGATGTCAACTTCTGTCTTTTAATACACATTTATATCATATACAGTAGGCTGGTATGTACAATAGTACAGTGAAGCAGGGCTCTGCAGTGCAACTCTTTCACTCACATATGCCCAGAAATGATTTACAAGCACAGTGGGTTAGTGATGAAAACCTGTAAGTGTAAATAATACTAAGGTTAAATTATACCAATAGTCATTTATTCTAGTTCCTCCTCCAGGTTGTGGTCAGAGCCTCTGCAGTGAACAGATGGAGATTTAGTTAAAAAGCTACAACACTTGTGGGCCCATGTCGAGCGTTCAGATCCAAGAGTCTTCACATTATAAAACAATCACTTCACACAAGGAGAAGGAGCTCAGGCATATTATGTATAATACATTTTTATAAATTAATTCTGTGCTAAGGAACATTTTCTGACTACTGTCCTCCTTAGAAGAAAGGTTAGCGTAGCACTACAAGCAAATAAACAAGCTTAGGAACCGAGATATAATCTCTCATTTTAACCCATGGGATTTATTTTTTTACAGAGCATTTCTTTACAAGAGACATGCGTTTCAACTGGAAAGGTGATTTATGAAACATGAACATTTAAAGATCAGGTTTTAGACAGTTTTATTAACACAAGCTCAAACAATAAAGCAATAAGATGTTAAGGCCCATGCTGCAGAGATGCTGAAGGATAAAAGTAAACTGTTACCAAAGCAAAATTGCCACCAGGATGTCCTGACACCACCCACCACCGGTGTGCGTCACCACCTAAAGACAGCAAGTCACACACATAAAACCCCACACAATAAGGCTCAGTTAAAGGTCCGCACACACCACGACATGCAGTGAAGGGAAGAGGGGCTCCCACAGTCCACCACAGTCCACCACCCTGTCAGAACACTGGAAGAAGAGGGAGAAGGGCTGAGGGAAGTCACGCAGCCCAACAACAAGCAAACTGCCCCACCCTTAGCAGAACCTAGCAAAAACATTCACAGGGCCCATCCACCTGTAACAGAGTCAAAAATCAGCAGTTGATCAGGCAGACAAAACAGCAGTGGCTATACAACCCTCAACTAATGCAGTAAATCATCCACCAGCTCTGACTCCACCTCATTCAAGGAGCAGACGTTTAAGGCAACTCAGGGTATCAACCTCCACGGCCGCCTCTGTGGTGAACTCTAGCAGAACAGGCCATGCAGTCTACAGGGTCTTGGTGACTTAAAATGCCTGTTATAAAAACAATTTAAAAAGTGTTCACAAAAGTTAAAACAATTATGCATCATCCTCGAGGCCTACCATCCAAAATCCTAACCTGCTCCCTGACCACACTGAGACACAATGCATTAAGAGAGAGTGAGACTAGACTGTGGCATTACCAGGCCGAAAGCCTACTATCACAACAAGAAAATGGATAACCACACAGGCTAACTAAGTCAGTGATATACAAGCTTAAATTTAAACTGCTAGCCTTGTTATCAAACTCGAACCATCGGTTAATATTTAGTTTTATCAGAGTTCTCAATAGACAAACACTTTTTACTAAAGGCCAAACTCCCCTAAACAGATGAGAAAGTCTGAGCACATTGTTCAGCCTTTACTGCCAGGTAACAATCTGAGGAGTCATCAGTCAGATGGGCATCGAGCTTTATTTGGACATTAGGCCATTAATTCAGAAGTCTATGAAGATTCTCACTGGACTTGGTTGAAGATCTTCTGAAGATCACTTTTTTGATTCTGACACAAAAAACGGTTATTTGGTTTTTCGTTTTGAAACAAAAAACGAATAAACGGTATTTTCGTTTTTGTATGACAAACAAATTACGGATTATCCACAGATACCCTCACCCAAAAGGTACCTCTAGTGATGGCAAGTTAGCCTCTTTTGACAGACTTGAGTCACCAAATCTCGTTCATTAAAATTAACTAATCTTTTTTTGTGTAATTTCGTTCATTTGAACTAGGCTGGTCATTGTGGCGCTGCAGCCTCTAGTGGTCGATTAAAAACAGCGCCGTTGTCAAACCCGGAAGGCTGCCTGGCTTGCTTTAATTGACAAAGTATAATGCACAAATTCACCTCTTGATTACTGTATATCATCATTATATAAACCCCTCTGGGCCCACAACCAAATTCAAACCATGTAAAAACCACAGAAATATGTTGTCTATATGTAATCACCACTACTCCGGCTAAATCCTTCCATTGTCACAATCTTTCCTGAGTTTACAACCAGACCAGCCATATAAAGGCTCATGTATATAATTACTATCATTATCTCTAATGTGCTCATTCATACAGCAGCCTAACGTCCCTATCCATGAGTTAATATCAGATTAGCGTATATAGAAGTAATAAGCTCGATACACTATATGAATAAACACACTCTTATTAAAATCCAACCAATTTAATAATAATCTGGATCAAACCACCGAGTTCTTAAAGAACTCCAGCACAGAGAGAGGAACAGAGAAATATTAACACATTATATAAATGCAGCAGTTTGGCAGGTCTGGATACAGAACGTGAGCACATCGCTCTCAAACACTGCAGGTTGTTCACCAGTCAGGAACCGTTAAATAAGAGATCTCGCCGCTACGCGGTCACGTGGTTCATGTAGCGCTCCATAGTTCCAAACAACTTCAGCTTTATATCAAAATGCTTTGATATCACAAAAATCCTGATGATACAAAAGGAACATGAGAGTCAGTTACATGGTGATACTGGTCGTACTGGTGGAGGAGGAGGCTCAGCTGTTAGGTCACTGGTGAACAGACAGTGGTTGGAGGCAAAAGCCTTCTGTCCTGTCAGGTGACCAACAAGGCCTGTGTTTGATGCATCACAACAAAGAAAACCAATCAGAGTTTAGATCTCAGCCTTAAAGGAAAACTTCACTTTATGTTAAAACCCTTAACTGGATTCAAATTAGTGTCACATGTCCTGCTGCTGTTTCACACTAAAAACATCCACTGATGAACCAAGGGTGGCTTTTATTGTGAAGAAGCTACAGCAAGTTTAATGAACAGAGTCCCTCCACTTCCTCTTCTGCCTCATGGGACCTTATTACAGAAAAAATATGTACAGTAGTCAACGGCGAGAGACCCCAAATGTTTTTATCCCATTTTTGGAATTTTAAAGATCATTTTGTTTGTCATTTCCCACAAACACCTTCAGTGCTGTGTATCAACATATGTAGGCTACTGTTTCCTGAATGTAGTTTAGGCTAAAAAAATCATGAATGAAATCAGAGAAGGTGGGTCGTATTGTAAGACCCACCTTCTCTGATTTCATCTTGAGGAGGAGCTTGATCACTTGCTCCCTGTGGATCCCATCTAGGCCAACTTGTGTTTTGCTTGGAAGTATCCCTATCTGTTAATATTGGATTACAACTTTCATTGAAGGATTATAACAAATGTGCGTTGGGACCCAAAGGCACCTGACACTGCCTGAGGGGTCTTTCACCCACAATAACACACACGCGCCTGTCAGATAGTTTCCTGTATAAAGTTTTATTTTCACTTTCTATGAAGTTGTGGCGCAGTTAGTTTTCTCCGTCTGAACCTCCAGCCGAAGGTAATGTAACAAGTTTAAAATGATTTCATCTTTAACACAAGCTGTCGTTTCGTAGTTACATTAGAAACAGCAGAAATCTGCCGCACGATGCTTCATTTCTCCAAAATCTGAACAGTTGAATGAAATGTCCGCCATGTTGTTACTATTTGGGAGTAAACAGTGGAGTTGGAGTAGAAGTTAGTTTCTCCTCAGGAGCTGTTGTTACTGTGTAGCTCCACTTTCTGATGAGT